GGACAGGCTCCAAAGCTACACAGAGAAACCCTGTCTCAAAAAAAACAAACAAAAAACAACAACAACAACAACAAAAAGAAAGGCTTAGTCTTGGAATGGTGGGGATGGAAGCGCCACTGAAATAGACTTTTGAGGTACTGTAAACTGAAGAGGTGAGATGCAGGCTTGTCTTCCAAGAAGTTTTGTTAAGAAAGAGGGTGGAGGGCTGGCAAGATGGTTTAGTGGGTAAAGGCACACAGGTTGCCAAACCTGACAGTCTGGAGAAAACTGACTCCCACAAGTTGTCCTCTGACCTCCATACCGGTTCTGTGTCATGTGTGTGCCTCTTCTACCTCAAAAATAAATAAGAAAAAGATGCAGTGAAGGGGATAGAGATCAAAGAGAAAAGGCTGGGTCTTTTAGCAGAAGCTTACACTGGGCACGTATGCCGAGGTTCCAACCCAGGCCCTTGCCAATGCTAAACCCAAACCCAAACTAGGTCAGTGAGCTTCGCCCCCAGCTCCAAACAGGTATTTCAGAAGGACAAGGAGTGAAGATAGTATTTTAACATGAAGTTTTAAAAACGCATTGATTGTTATACACTGCCGAAAGAAGGTATTCTATTTGCTAAATCGAACTCTGATGCTGGTTTGCCATACACAGGCATGTGAAAATTCAAGTGAAAGAGATTAGAAAGAGCACAGAGAATCGACACTAGAGAAAGCATCAGGCATTACCTGATATACTTGTCAAAGTAATTGATTTCAAGTGTGATGATCTGGATAATGTATTTAGTCTACATTTTTTTTTGGGGGGGGTGGTTCTCTGTATAACTGCCTTGGCTGTCCTGGAACTTGCTTCTAGACCAGGCTGGCCTCATTCTCACAGAGATCTGCCTGCCTCTGCCTCCCGAGTGCTGGGATTAAAGGCGTGCAACACCACACCATCTGGCTGTTTTGGTCGACATATTACTCTGGACTATTGTCCAGAAGTTTTTGTGTTACATCCTATTAAACATTCTTTCTGGGGTACAAATTTTTTGATCCTAAGGAAAGGGAAGTAGAATCTTTGCTAATCCTTGGGACAATGATTCTGCTTCTGCTAGTGCTCATCCAGCTAAAACTGAGCTTGACAATCCAGCAGTCTAATGTCCCTAGTGACCCTGAGGTATTCAGTACCTCCGGTTGGATGGCGGAATGCTTTTTCCATTTAGTACTGTCTGGCCAAGAGACATGATTGTTTGCACAGGTTCTGAGTAGAAAGACTGAGCTGGCAGGGTGGGTCAGTGGGGGAAAGTGCTTGCTGGGGAAGCCTGGCAGCTTGAGCTCCATATCTGGAAGCCAAGAGGGAACCAACACCTGAAAGCTGTCAAACCTCCACCCGCCTTTCTTTTTCTCTTACACACACACACACACACACACACACACACACACACACCCCTTCCCATTTAGGGAAATAAAAATGCTTAGCTTGTGAAGCAGAGAAAATAAAGCTTTAAAATCCAAGAGAAAGAAATGAAATTTGACTCGTCTAAAGGAAACATTGTTTTATAAGCAGAATATATTTGTTAGCGTAAATACTGAAACTCCATCTAATACCTTAAAATTACTTTTCATATAGCTGGATTTTAAAAGCAGTCAATATAAACTCGAATCAGTTGTAATAAATGCTGGATTGAAGCCAGTAGTAAAAATGGAGTACAAATGAGAATACATGCCATGTCAGAGAAGGAAATAGACCAGACTCTAAAGAACAAAGGGTAGATTTTTGCATTAACTTGCTGCCTAAGGTAAAGTGTCAAAAGTTAAATCAGCAACATTTGAAGTCAACCCGAGGAGACAATGACAGAACTTGGAAATCACAGTGGACACATGAGAGATCTTGGCTTCAGGGAAGTGGCAGGTGGGACACCTTTTTGAAGGGCTGTTATGTAACAGAGCTGCTTTACAAATGAGGGGTGGCCTGGAGCTCTAAGAGGAGAGCCCTATGGCAAAGCTACAGGGTCCACAGCTGTCTCGGGCTAATTAGGGCAAAATGTAGTGCCGTGATCTACGGAGAGTTAGCCAGCAGCTCGCCAGGGACAAGAGCTATTCTAGAAAGCCTTTTCTTTTCAGCCTGTTTTCTCAAATTGGGTGAGGTCAAGGCGCCCATCCCTTGTGTAGTCGTGGAGGTGTCTACGCCTCGCACAGCGCGCACTCCTAACGCTTCACTCCATCGTTGGGCAGTATGGCTCCAGGGCCGGCAGTCGCGCTCCTTCATCTAACCTACCCAAGCTGGCAGGACCCTCACCTTATATTGCTCTCTTGGCCCTGCCGCCTCCTCCCTCCGTGGGCGAGCCATAGCCCAGGCCACACTACCAGTCAGGAATTCTGCTGGGGTATGGGAACTTGCCCCACTGAAGACTTCGCCAACGAATTGTTTTAAATAAAGTTTCTCTCCTTTAAAAAAAAAAAAAAAAAAAAAAAAAAAAAGGGGGTGGTGGCGGTGGCGATGTCCTAGCTAGTCCTCACACGATTGACCAATGAATGAAGAGGCAAGCCAGGAAGCCGGAAAAGCCTGCCGGTGATTGGCTATCGTAGACGCTTGTCAGGACTGTACCATGCTAACTCGGAGGAGGTTGATGAACTAAAGAAAGGCATCTCCTTGTTTCTTTGAGTGTTTTCGTTACGTACGTGGAATCTTTTTTTCCTAAGAGGTCTTCTTGGATACACTACAAATAGGAAAGCAGACAAAAGAAGAGGAAGATCTCGCCTGCCCATTTCCTCCTTCCCAACCCTGCGCAGTTGGCCACGCCCCTCTCCCGGCCGTCGGCCAGACACGACGGCCTTACGGGCGCGCTCCCGCGTCGCTACGTGTTTGCGGCGCCGTGCCCCGGCAGCCAGTCAGAAGGCGAGGTCGCCGCGGTCGCCCGCGGTCGCGCGCACGCCCCGGAGCGGCGTGGGGGCGGGGGCGTGTGTGTGTGTGTGTGTGGGGGGGGGTGAATGGAAGAGTGAACGGGGGCGGGCGCGGCGGCGCGAGCCGCATGAATGAGAAGAACGTGCCCCGCGAGAGACGTCGCCCGCGCCCGCGCCCGGGAGCCAATGGGAACGCCGCGAGGGCTGGAGACCCTAGGCTGAGGGCAACGGCCGCGCGCCGGCTCGGAGGCGAGCGTCAGCCGTCGGGAGCGCGCGGCGGCGGCGGGGCGGGCGTGGAGCGTGCGGGGGCCGCGCGCTGCCTCTCAGAGGCCAGACGGCACTGCTGGGAGGCGGCGGCGACAACGACGGCGGCGACCACGACGGCGGTGGTGACGGGCACCGCGCCGGGGGTGAGTACCGGGGACGCTGGCCCCTGCGGAACCGGAAGTGCCCGGGCCTGTGAGGTGGGAGGGGAGAGTGACCTCTAGGGAAGGGGGACCGCGGAGGGGAGGAGGTTAAGGCCCTACCCCTCCTCGGGCTCCATGGGCCCCGAAACGGACGGCCGCAGAGTCCGGAGAGCCACGGCCACCGGGGCTCGGAACCGGTTGGTGCCGGGCTGCCCGGTTGCCGAGCCGCCGCCCCTTCCGTCCCCGGCCCGCGATCCTCTCAGCGCCGGCGGGCCCTGCTCGGTGGATTCCGTGCTTTCTGGCCCAGGGGTTGTCAGCTCTGCTCCCTGCGTTGACTCTCCGTAGTTCAGCTGCCGGGTGGGGACCGAGCCCTGTTCCCCTTTAACCGCTCGGTGGCTCAGGCCCCTTGCCCCACACTCCGTTCATACTTATTTTGGCTAGAGCTTCGTCCTGTGGTGGTTACCTGTTCTTTCTCCCATCCATCTGCTGCTTCTCCCTACCCCCACCAGCCAGGTGCTCCATGCCTTAAGTACTTTGTACTTTTTACTAGTGGAGCTTGAATGTGTTTGACAGTATTTTATCTGTAGGAGTCTGTTCATAGGGAGGTCTAAAGTTCCTTAACCAGTTGGCCGAATGAAACCACTAAAATGAGAAGCTAGAAAGTGACTGAAGTTACTAGAAGTAGTCGTAGAATCAGATCTATGTTACATTGCAGACCATTTTTGTCGTCTTGGGTTTACTTCCTGGTTAATGCCATCTTGTCCATGTAGATGTAACCAACTTTATTTATTAACATACGAATAACATTTTAATACAAATAAATTATCACCATCTGTCCAGGATAATCTTAGGTTTGCATCTCCATCCTTTTATCCCAGTGTGTGTCAGCTCTGTATCAGACATTTCTCCTGTGCTCATTATCGCATGTATATTCACCTAATGTTTGTAAGAATTCTTTTGACAGGTACTTGGGTACCTACCTCAATCTGTGATGATAATACTCTTTTAAAAACTTCAGCTTGGGTCTTTACCTCATAGCTTGTGTGCATTGTTCTATATGGCATCTGCATTACAATATATTCAAGTTTACTGTATTATGCTTATAATGCTTAGTTATAACAAATAATACATGTGCTGTCAGTGGTACTGTCCCTAAGGAACTACTTGTATTAAACCTTACTAAAGCCTTCAAACTGCTTATCCTAAATTGTTTGTTTTATGAGATTTGTTGTTGTTTTGAGACAGGACCTCTCTACAGGCTGTCCTGGAACTCACTTTGTAGATCAAGCTGGCTTCTAGCTCACAGAGGTTTTGCCTGCCTCTGCCTCCTGAGTGCTGAGATTAAAGGTGTGGGCCACCACACCCAGCTCTGCATTATTTGTTTTATACATACATATTTTCACTCCATGATCCCCCCTCCCCCCTGTCAGCATGTGTCATGCACATTCTTGTACACTTTGCTGATCATGATGTGGATCCACTGGAGTGTGACTGATGAACCACACTCACCCTTCCGGTTTCATGTCTTCTCTTCACCACATCCCTTTGCTGGGACTTGGTGTGTTGTTATTTATACCCAATCAATTATTTTATCTTATCCCATCTAATAATATCCTAACACTTCAGATGATGCTTTAATTTATATCTCATGTGGTTCCAAAATTGCATGTCCTTCCATGACTGCTGTACCATGGCAGTATTAGTCTATGTGGCTTTTATTCTGTAGTAAATGAGATCTGCAATAGTATAGGATTCAAACTGACAAACTGATAATCTATTAAACTAACTTTACATAAAATTTAAGGTAATGTAATTTTCCTTCTTTAATCTTTAGAGTTTTGAGGGAAATATTTGCTTTAATAGTACTATTTACAGATCAAGAAATTTGCTTGTTCCAGTTAATAAAGATACTCATGCCTAAATTCAGCAAACAGAAATAACTGTAAAATCAGGACTAAATAGGACCTGTTTTTTAGGACCATAAAAACTTACTACAGTCGTTGGGTCTTCATTCTAATGTTGCTTGCCTCCCCCCCCCCCCTTTTGTTTTGTTTTGTTTTTGAGACTAAGTCTCACTATGTATCCCTGACTGGCCTGGAAGCTGTACATACCAGGGTGGTTTGGAACTCAGAGCGATCCACGTGCTTCTGCCTTCTGAGTACTGAGATTAAAGGTGTTCACTACTTACTATTCCTGAGTGGTGACTGTAGCAGGCTGCATTGCCTTCTATATCTTAGGTAAGAGAAGAAGTTATAAATTCTAGAATACACTTGTATTTCAGTATCTAAATCTTTAGATTTTTTTTTTTTTTTTTTTGGTTTTTCGAGACAGGGTTTCTCTGTGTAGCTTTGCGCCTTTTCCTGGAACTCACTTGGTAGCCCAGGCTGGCCTCGAACTCACAGAGATCCGCCTGGCTCTGCCTCCCGAGTGCTGGGATTAAAGGCGTGCGCCACCATCGCCCGGCTTGATGTTTTTTAATAGCTGCTATTGGTATCAAATAGTATACTACTTGGGGAATAGAATTGCTTTCACTTGAAATTCTAACTTTAAAGCAAAAATCTGGGTCTGTAGATTTCAAGTTATCATTAGGCATGTAGTATGGTAGAAAGGGTTTATGTCAGCAATTAAACTCTTGGGTTCTGAACCTGGCTACTCAAGTGATTCAGTAGAATGGCTTCAGGCATTCTCTAGCCTTCAATTTTACAAAATAGGATAAGGGACTCTGTCACCAGATAATGTGAGTAAAGTGCTTTGAGATCACCAGATGAAAAGCATCCTATAAAATTAAGGTGCTTGTGTTGTTTTGTTACTGTGATCAACAGAAATAATTGCTACTCTAATCACATTGGATTATAAGCAGCTTAGTTTACCTCCTAATAGGGGTAATAGCCTGTGTTAGGAATTAAAAACTATTGAATTTGGAAGAAAACGACCAGTCCTGGTGTTGGACCCAGTTTCTCATAGAGAATATTTCACCTATTGGTGCAAGTTCGTTTCTTACGCAGGACCCTTAATAGATGATTACAACAGGCCAAACATTGAACTTGTGCTTATTTCGTGTTGTCGATAAAAGGCATAGGCATAAAAAGAGACGCACAAAAAGGAAGTGATAGCTGCTGTCCTATTTTTAAGCTTCCTTTCTTCATTGTGGGAATACATATTCTCTTTGTTCAAAGAGAAATGTCTGTTTTAGTAGTGCCCTTCACTTTGTGCCCTTGTTTGTTTCTAGGTTTTATATTCTTGGTATGTGTTGTTCCTGCACTTTTGTCAGGAGAGATGGGCTTTTAAGAGCTAGTCCTTGGATGACCCTAGGTCAGATAAACCTGGGTTCTTCCCCTTACAATCAGTAGCCCTTGAAAAGGTGAAGGACTTGGAATGTATTTTTCCTTTCCATTTAGAGTTCATTCCCACATACATAGATGTGAGGTGGAAAATAGTCTTTCTTTCAAAAGGCACTTTTTTTTTTTTTTTTTTTTTTTTTTTGGGTTTTCGAGACAGGGTTTCTCTGTGTAGCTTTGCGCCTTTCCTGGAACTCACTTGGTAGCCCAGGCTGGCCTCGAACTCACAGAGATCCACCTGGCTCTGCCTCCTGAGTGCTGGGATTAAAGGCGTGCACCACCACCGCTCGGCCAAAAGGCACTTTTTAATAGCTACTCGTGGGGCTTTAGCCTTGAGGTTCTTAAGAAATACCATAAAAGAATTTCTTTGATAAAGATATTTGGTTTTCTCCAGGTAAAGCACCATATCCCAGTTGAACTCTGCATCCAGGAAACCCAAGATTGAAGACAAAAGATCAGACATTGACTAACCTGGAAACAGGGACACCTTTGGAACTTTATCTACAGTAATTTTTAAACTGTCGTCAGGTGAAATCGACTGCATCTTATTCTGCTTATTGGAAAGAACATGGCTTCAAGGATTTTGAATTTCCTTTCAGTTTTTCATGAACTCTCTGGGAAACGGAGCCCTTAAAGGGCTTGGGAATAACAAGAAGAGATTGAAAACGGACGATACTGCTGTTTTTCTCCCCTTTCAAAGAAAAGGATTTACAACTCAACCCTCTAACAGCTGTTGTCCAACTTTGGCCATCAAGAGAGAAATAAATAAAATTCAGTCACCATTGCCAGACGACCAGCCCTGGTGAAGTCAAGGTGTGAGAGGTGGTATCGAGAAAGGACAAGGACTGCAGTTAAAAAATCAGCTTCTCTTTAAGCTGGAAGGGACCCCAAGTTCCTTCTTGGATTAAAATAGAAACCCAGTGCACGCCTCTTAGGTGCTGCTCGTATTTTGTGGAAGTGTGTTGTGGAGGAGCTCTTGTATCTCCTCAGAAGAGTTAAAGCCCCCTGTCCCCCATATTCTTTCCTTCCTAACCTTCCCTTTGAAGACCTGCCTCCATCCATGAGCTATACCTTGATCTGCTTGGCTCTCCATGTTTTCCACCTGCAACTGTCTGCATGCACACAGCCTACTGTTTGTCTTCAAGTTTTGAATTGTACAAGTTGTGCTTCTTAATCTCCTTTTCTGCTTTACTCTGGGGAAGTGGTTATTAATCACTTGAAATCACCTTTCCCCCTCCCATGTGCTTTCCTTTATTTGAGATCTTTTGACCTTCATTTTTGTTTGGGAGGGGGAAGGGTGATAATTTTGCATTTTCTGTTTTCCCCAGTTTCTTTCCTCTTTGTTTCCCTCATCCCATTTTCTTGTCTGTTCTGCCGCTGTGTGGGCCTGGGCTATGCGGCAGGGCACATCTTCCATCAGAGCTCCAACATGCCCGCAGAGTCTGGAAAGAGGTTCAAACCCAGCAAGTATGTACCGGTCTCAGCAGCCGCCATATTTCTAGTGGGAGCTACAACACTCTTCTTTGCCTTTACGTGAGTTTTCTCCCAGCAGTGGCATTTGGGGGTGGGAGGGTCATGCCATGGAATGTGAAGACTAGTTTTTCTTCAGTTTCATAGTTATTTGGAAGGCCAGTAGATGCCTGTCCTTTACGCTGTTGGTGTTTTCTACTTCCCTCTGCTTTCTGTCTTTTGGAATCATAGATGTCTTCATGGTTTCCTATCTAGTTCCATCACAGGTGATATAAACTAGGAAGGAAGTAGGAACACACCTTCAGAGAGAGAGGCTTGAAGTTTAAATGAGAGAAAGAGAACTAGATTAGACTTAAATTATTTTTTCCTTCCTCTTCTTTTGAGTCAGAGTCTCTCCATAGAGCCTTAGCTGTCCTAGAACTTGCTATGTAGACCAGGTTGGCCATGAACACACACAGAACCTCCTGCCTTTGCCTCTCAAATGCTGGGATCACCAGGCTGTGCTGACTTAAGTCTTTTCAAATAGCAGTCAATTACACCTGGGATGTCTAAGCCATAGGCTTGGCCAGAGATTATAGAACCTGAGTACCTCAGAGGTTTTTGTTGTTGTCTTTTTTTTTTTTTTTTTCCTTGAGACATGGTATCACTATGTTGCCCTTGCTGACCTGGAATTCCCTAAGTAGATCAGGTTGGCCTCAAACTTGTGGTACTCTTCCCTTTGGGATTGTAGACTTTTTTTTTTTTTTTTTTTTTTGAGGCTGGCCTGGAACTCAGAGAGATCTGCTTGGGATTAAAGGTGTATGCCGCCACCACCTAGCCTGTAGACATGTTTTTACCTCGCTGTGTCAGAATTGTTGAGATTTGAGAATTTTGAGACAGGACCTTGCTGTGTAGCCCAGGCTGGCCCTAAATCCATGATCCTTCTGCCTTAGCCTTCTGAACACTGAGAATTGATTTAAGATATACTAATGAGACAGTTTTGGTTTGTAGTGCTACCCAGATGCTTTTCTCTATACTTTTAAGAGCTAAGGCATGGAGACGGAGAGGCTCCTAGGAAAGAGTGGCCTTTATTTAAGAAGAAAATACTAGAAGAGTTATTTACATTAGTTCCCACTGAAAGGAGTGGCCGTTCTTGTGTTCATTAATTCTGATGGGAAAGAGTGTTGGCATTCAAAGATACCTTACTTAGAACCTAGGGTCTCAGCCTTCCTAGTTAGGATCTTTTTTTTTTTTTTTTTTTTTTTTTTTTGGTTTTTCGAGACAGGGTTTCTCTGTGTAGCTTTGCGCCTTTCCTGGAACTCACTTGGTAATCCAGGCTGGCCTCGAACTCACAGAGATCCGCCTGGCTCTGCCTCCCGAGTGCTGGGATTAAAGGCGTGCACCACCACCACCCGGCCCTAGTTAGGATCTTAAGACTGTTCATACACTTGTTTTACTGGAGGAAACTGACTTTCCCCTCTCTTGTCCCCAGTGTGTAGCTGTGGCCACCTAGCAAGTATGTTTTCTGTTACCAATTTATAATGAGTTTATACTAGCCTTCTGAGCTTTATTATTGAGTCATTGATTTAGCATTCTAGTTGTATCTTTGGGAGTGATCATGGAGCCAAGATCTTCATTTTCAATCTCTTTCCTCCTGTGTAACTCATATTCTGCCTTTGATATGTTGAGTAGCAAAAGGAGGAATGCTTCTTCAGTGTCAGAATGTGTTTTGCTGTGTTGGTGTAAGCAGAATCAAAAATTTAGCCTATCTTTGTGCTTTAGTAGCAGTTGTGCTGGGTCAGGAGAGATACGTAACTGGATCAGGTTAATACCTTTAGACCTACCTAATAGGAATGTCAGTTTCCCTTTGGGAGTCAAGCTCTTGTAGTAGCTAAAGTATTCAGGGGAGTAAGTGTTTTTTCTCTTTCAAACTGTCGTTGAGATCAGACATGCACAATCCTTATTTTTAATGTGTTAATCTGGAACCATTGAAGTGCTTGGCTTGTTATACCAGTTTGCCCACAAAGAACTGTCCTGACAGGCATTGTCTTACTGATAGTTGAAGCTAGTTTAACCTAGTTTTTCATTCTTTGGTGCCAGTTGAGTTGGGTTCCTCTTTAATCTGCGTTGTGTCAGCTGTAGCAAAAAGTTGGTTTTTTTGTGGTGCTGGGGATTGACTCTAGGGTCTTTTTTTTTTTTTTTTTTTAGGTTTTTTGAGACAGGGTTTCTCTGTGTAGCTTTACGCCTTTCCTGGATCTCGCTCTGTGGATCAGGCTGGCCTCAAACTCACAGGGATCCACCTGCCTCTGCCTCCCGAGTGCTGGGATTAAAGGCGTGCGCTGCCACCGCCTGGCTAGCGTCTTATATTTTTAACACTAAACTACATCCTTAGCTTGGGGGTAAAAATAGAGGATGTTACTGACTCTATTTGGAATTTATGCTTCTAATACAAATCTAAGAGAGCCTTAAATCATAGATGAGATTTTCCCATCATTAATTTCTACAGGATAAATTTATGGGCTCCTGTTTCTTACCAAAGTCTCACTTGTCCACCCTGTGAAGTCATAAGCATTTTGTTGATTTTACTTTATCACCTAGCTTTTGTTTGTTTGTTTGTTTGTTTGTTTGTTTTTGGTCCCCTCAGAGGCCAGAAAGGGTGTTGGAAACCTTGGGACTGGAGTTACAGAAGGTTGTATGAGTGCCATGTGCATGATAGGAATCCACCTTGGGTCTTATGGAAGAACAACAGTTGCCTTAATTATTAGGCTGTCTCTGCATCCCCATACCTAGCTCTTGCTACCTGTGAAAGTCTTACCGCTTTTCCATCTGACTGAAGTGTCTCCTCTATAAGCATACTTACTACTGAGCTGGGGCATCACTGTTCTTAAGAATGGTACTTTTGTGCACTCCCCCCCTTTGAGATTCAGTTCCTTGGAAAACACTGTTTAAAACTATGTGCCATGTGAAAAAGAGTTCATGATTTCAAATGGAGAAGTAAAGAAGGCTGTGTTTGAACCCACTTTTGTGGGGACATAAATCTGTAACTGCTCTGTCACCCTCCTGTTCTTTTCACTAGGTTACAAGTGGCGCTTACATCAGTCTAGGTCCCTGGTGATAATTACTTTGGGACCTGGAGGACTGGGAGCAGGAGGAAGAGTTCCTTTCAGCTGGCAGACATAATTAGTGGAGGCATGTAGGCTTCAACTAATTAGGAATAATTTACCCTCCATGCTTCTTTGTTAAGTAGGGAAAGCTATGAGCAGAAATTACCAGTTAGGTCTGGTCATCAAAGAAATGGTGATTTTGTGCTCCAGAGAGTCTGCAAAGAGTAGTTGAGGGTCTACCTAGAGGTGATCCTCCTCATCGACTTCATTTCTTCAATACTAAAGCCAGACAGGAATGGTGAGCATCCTGCCTTAGTTCATTTCTCTCTTCAGCTGTTTGGACAGGAGAGTATCTGCTTAAGTAAGCACACTCTTTCCTGGGTAGGTACTAGAATTTGCATCTAAGATAATGCATCTGGGTCCCATCTGTCGGAGTTTAATACTTTTTTGTTGTTTTCTTGAGACAGGGTTTCTCTGTGTAGCCCTGGCTGTCCTGGAACTCACTATGTAGACCAGGCTGGTCTCCAACACACAGAGATCTGCCTGCCTCTGCCTCCTGAGTGCTGGGACTAAAGACGTGTGTCACCACAGCCGGCTACTTTTTGTTTTGTTTTTGTAAGACAAATTCTCACTATGTAGCCCTGGTTGGTCTGGAACTCATTGTGTAGACCAAGCTACCTCAGATTCATAGAGATCTGCCAGCTTTTGCCTCCTGAGTATTGGGATTAAAGGTGGGTGTCACCATGCCTGGCTTTGGAAGTCAGGAGACTTGAGTTTGGTACTTTGTTAATGTTTCTGGATCTCAGTTTTTCCTTTCTATCTACAAAGAAGTTGAATTAGAGCAGTTTATTTCAGCTGTGTGAACTTTTCTGGCTGGCATCTTACATGGAATCTCAGTACATAAAACAAAAAGTAGGAATGTTGTGATTCAAATGAGACTAATTTAAGTAAGTCCAGCTACTTGGTGTTTCCATCTTTACCTTTCTGGGGTGCCTGAGACCTCAGAGCTCCTGGCAGTACCATTGAGAATCACTAAATTGATCTTCTCTAAAGTGTCCTCTAGTACAGAGTCTCCATTTTCTGTTTCTTAAGTTGGGGAGAAGAGGTAGGGGAATTTCTGGTTTTGGTAGAGTAAAAAGCAGGTTAGAAATCCAGATAGTCTTTCCAGTGTCTTATCCGTAGTACAGCTCGCTTACTTTTAGTTTCTGTCTCAGGTCCCTTCCAGCTTCTCTGTGTACAGAATTAGGCAACTCCTGTGGCTTTTTTCCTCCCCTTTCATACCTGTGGAGGTGTTAGCACCTGATTTGAGTGGGAACAGCCTCGTGATCTGGGAGGTTAATTGAGCAGTGGTTGTTCTTTCCCTTCCCACATGGCTCATCCAGGAATAAGTAAGTGCCCAGGTCCTACAGCATACATGGCTCAGCTGCAGGAAATCACAGGGTATAGAAGTACAGAAAAAGCAAGTGTTTTAAGAGAAACCTATGAACCTGTCACAAGACAAATTGTTTTCCTATGGAATCTTGAAGAAAGCATTCCTTGATGAAATTCTAGGTAGGAAATGGGGCATTCACTCCAGCCTTCTCATCCAGAAACACTAGACAAATGCTCAGGCAGTGTGCTAGGCTTGGATGGAATGCATGGGCCTGTTCTTCAGCAGCTTAGTGCCCCTGCTGTAAGTGTCCTTGAATCTACTGCCTCAGATGGGGAGGGGGGTGGGATTGAGCATAAAGTGGAGCTGGAGTGACAGTTGATGACAGTGATAGTGGTTTCTTGTGTCTTGTATTTAGTGAATCCTCAGTGTTATACATGCTAGTTTATAAAGAACTCTAGTAACAGAGCATGGCATGTGTCTTTAATTTCAGCATTTTGGAGGCAGAGGCAGGTGGATCTGTCAGTGAGAACAACCTGGTCCACATAGTGAGAACCTGTCTCAAACAAAGACAAAGAACAGGACACCCCCCCCCAAAAAAAAATTTTTTTTAGCATCTTTTCAGACATTTCTCCTTCATTTTCATGTGTGTATTATACAATTGAAGTAGCAAGCTTAAGAGTTTCCTGTGAGTTGAAACAGGATTAGAATCTAAAACTTTTTGATTGACTTTTTCTTTCTAGGAATTTAACTTTTTTTTTTTTTTCTTTTAAGTAGTAGAAAGTGTTAGAAATGCTAGGGAACAGGATTTCAGGAGAGTGTATTGAAACCCCCACTTCCCTTTTTACTTTGCATTGAAAATAGGCATAATGAATGGGTGGGCAGAAGAACCTGTTCTACCTGGGGTGGTTTATGTCTGGGAATCCCATCAGTGAGTCAGCCTTCTGGGCTGCAGCCACTCCCTAAACTTCTTGTGCTCTATGATTATTACTTAGAGAGTTAAGGACAAGTCCTAACTTCTCTCCTTAGCCCTGGCTGCATCTCTCTCCATCAAAGGCAACCGATTCAAACAGGCCAGTTGTGGTCATCTTTGAATCTGGCAAAGTGCTAAAGCAATGGAAAGTGTTTTCTCAAGACAAGTAGAATATAGGCTGTGGCTGAAAAAGGCTTTGCTCACAGGTTTTGAGGTGGCTTGTCTCTTCAGCTAGAATCCTAAGGCTAGAAGCAGTAAGTCTGAATGTAGAAGATACTGTTCATGAAGTTGAATTATTTGAATCACTTAGACATTCTGCCACTGTGGGAACAGTCTTTATTTGGCGATAGACTCAGTTCCATTATTACACACTTCACTGAGATGTGCTGATAGAGGTTGAGAGGTGAAGTTTGTCAGGATACACAAGGAATTAGGTGATTTGTTTAGTTTGGAAATGAAACTGAAGAAAAGGTGGGATCTAAAAGATCAAGAGTTGAGCTAGGTGTGGTGGCACAGCCTGTAATACTGTCACTCAGGAGGCTGAAGCAAGCAGGCATATTAGGAGTTTCAAAGTTAGCATGAAGGTACATAGTAAGTTCCAGGCTAGAATAGGCCACACAAAGGCCCTCTCTCAAAAAAACTAAACTGGTGGGGGTGGGTAGAAAAGACCTAGGTTGGACTATGAGATGAGGGCTATGGTGGCGGCCAGTTCTAAGGACAAGCACCTCAGTGTTGTAAAGGTTTAACTTATTTCTCCCTTCTAATTATCATCCTAGGCTGTAGGAGTGAAGTGAGTCACCCTTTCTCTTCTTCCTCAGGCGGAAATTGAAGGGACAGCTAAGTACCAGGGAGAGGCTCTGACCTGGATGACTGGTTTTCAGTTTCTCTCTTTCCCTCCTAAGAAACCTAGGAAATAGGCTTCCCAGTAGAGCCCTGCAGGGACTCTTCCTTCTTAAATTCTACTCCAGCTCATGCCAAGATATGAGAACATTTTTTCTGGACCAAAGAGTTCACAGAGGAAGAGGCTTTATAGGGGTCTTTGCTGATAATAGTGCGGAACTGTGGCTGAAGGGATGTTTTGACTTTGAAATCTGTCTCTATTATTTTGGATCCCAATCCTGTATAGCCCAATAAAGAGATGCAGTGAGTTTATTGCTGTTTACCAGCTGCAAAGCCTGGCATAAATAGTATTTACTTAAAAAATTTAAATGGATCGATGAATTTGAAGAACTAGATAGTGGTGATAAGAAATTTGCGTCTCATTGGTTTATGTCTTATTACAAGGCCCACTGCTTCTAAACTGTCTTGGGTCACTACTTAGAGTTGTGTTTTTAGTTTGAATGGAAACTGAGCACCTTTCTTGACTGTTGTGAATTAGTATTCCAGACTTGAATGTTGTCTTAATATCCTCGGCCTGTCTTTTCCTTCATCAAACCCTTCCTGTCTTCTGACTGTCAGGGTAAAAGGGACAAGGGCAGATGCTGTCCTGATTCTGGAGATTAAGTTCTTGGCCACAAAGCAGATTAGGTATTTAGCCACTGTCTTGTAGTGAGTAGGAAGTTCTCTCTGAGCCGAAATGGGAGATAATACTGATAAAGTAAGGTTCACACCAGAAGTTTGAACTCCTGGGAAATCAGCAGAGAAGGACAGCCCCTCTATTAATAGTCAGATTCTGAAAGAACCTGAACTCAGGCTTAAATGAGCACTCTTCTTTTTTTTTTCTAAAAGGTATCTAAAGCTTGTCTCTTGATTTGAATGCTATGAATACTGGATATGTATGGCCAGTTTTCCCCCCCTGAAGGATTTAGGATTTCTTTGATCTGAAATTCTCTAATTTTTTTCTCTCTCATTCTTTGCTCCATTTTTAGATGTCAGGAGAAATCTTGTTCTTTGTCCTTTATTTTTTATGGAATGCTTCACAAATTTGTATGTCATTCTTGCATAGAAGCCACAATAATCTAATTTTATTCTAATTTCAGTATATATGCTGCCAAGGTGAACATTGCTTTTTGTTTATAGAGCCCACACTGACCTTGAACTGGCAATTGTATTTTCCTCATTTCAAGTGTTAATGTTCAGGTGTGCACTACTGTGCCTGACTTAATTTCTGTGTTCTGATATACATTCTTGTATTATTATTATTATTTTGGTTTTTCAAGACAGTATTTCTCTGTATAACAGGCCTGGTTGTCCTGGAACTCACTTTGTAGACCAGGAACTCAGAGATCCACCTGCCTCAGCCTCCTGAGTGCTGAAACTAAAGGCATGTGCCACCACACCCAGCATTATTATTATTTTCAATTCTTAACCATTGGAATTAGGCTCTAGATAGCTGGCAGTGAAGAAACCTTAGGTAGTTGAGATTGGAAGGGGAGATAGAGAGGCAGGTAGTATCCATATGCTTTGGGCTATTTTGCAGGTCAGTGGGACATGGATCCAGAAACCTTAGGTTGCTCCAAACAAAGACAGGAGTGTAGCTGATATTCATTATACAGTCAATCCCTAGTTCTTTTGTGTATGGTTTGTAGGGAGATAAGGATGTATTGTAAAGCCTGTGTTCTATAGATTGCTGCTGGTGTCAGGGTGTTAGAGGCAGCCCTTCATTTTCTCTGTTGTCTGCAGGTGTCCAGGACTAAGCCTGTATGTGTCACCTGCAGTGCCCATCTACAATGCCATCATGTTTCTCTTTGTGCTGGCCAACTTCAGCATGGCCACCTTTATGGACCCAGGAATTTTCCCCCGAGGTAAGTAAGATCTTTCTATACTCTCATGTAAGCTCCTTGTCATCATTAAGAATAATTATTTGAGCAGATAACAGTTGATCTTGGGCTTGGAGGGTCTTAGGATTCTGGGATACTGTTACAGGAATATGGGTTACACAGTATCTAGTTATTTGGGTCACTTTGGGTCAAACCTTTTTTTTTTTTTTTTTTTTTTTTTTTTTGAGACAGGGTTTCTCTGTGTAACAGCCCTACTGTCCTGGAACTCCCTCTGTAGACCAGGCTGCCCTGCCTCTGCCTCCCAAGTCCTGGGGTTAAAGGCATGTACCACCACCACCCGGCTTGGGTCAAACCTTTTTTATTCAAATTGTACTTAAGGTTTTTTATAGTTTGATCATATTCTTTCCCCTCCCCCAACTCTTAAGATCTTCCCCATCTCCCTACCCACCCACCTTCGTTTTCTTTCCCTCTCAGAAACAAACAAACAAAACAAAAAAAGGAAAATCAAAACAAAATTAAACCTAAGCAAAAATCACACAAAAAACCAGAGTGTTTTGTATTGGCCTAGTACTACTTCTGGACTTGATACCCCATGTCACTCCATTGGAGAAACTGATTTTTTCTTTCTCAGCAGGTATCAATTGTAAATAGCATCTTGATTAAGGGTGGGACTTTGGTCTGCTTCTTTGGATCAAATCTTTGATTTTTGTTATTTAGAAATTTATTTAGAGCTTGTAGGTTGAGTGGTGTTAGGTAGAGTAATATTTACTATGAATTAGACTGTTCTAACAGTGTGGTACAAACTACAGTGGAAGTATGGGTATGGATCTCTTGAGAACATACACGTGGTGCGGTTATATTTGCCTAGAGAAATTAGTGAAGTTCTGCTAAGAATCAGTGAGAAGACTTTACCAACTAGTACACTGAAAGAGAGGAGGGCAGTTTCAGGCAAAGGAGGTGTTCACAGAAGCTTGTGCCCATGGAATGGTGAAGTCATCAAGGTTGGAGGATAGAGTGTATGGTAAGACCAGAAAAGAAACCCAGAGCCAAATTGTAAAGGACTTCATTTGCTACATGGAGCCTCTGCTAAATATGCTTCTTCCTTTGATACCAAAGGGTCTTTAATTTACAACAAATAATTCTTCTGAGAGTGTACAGACAGCTTTTGGCTTTGGCCAAAATATAGTATAAATAATATAAACCAGATGAAAATTTGAGACAAGTTTTACAGCTTTTTTAGAAGTAGATTCAACAGAATCATTTATGACAGCTTAATGGGGCAGAGCAAAGAATGAAAAAAGATCTGCTACACCGCCCTGGACATGCTTGATCCTGTCTGAACTCAGAAGCCAAGCAAGGCCAGGCCTGCATAGTACTTAGACGGGCGAGGATGGTTTTCTTGTGGTAGTTGCAAGGGTTAGAACTTGGGAGATAAATTGGATGCTGAGTTTTATAAACTGAATGTTAAATAGGCTGTATATTTGCTTTTGTTTTTTCCATGCTAGGAATTGAGCCCAGGCCCTAGACAAGCACTTTATCTCTGAGCTATACTCTCAGACCTAGATAATGATTTGAGATATTCCTTGGTGCAGTTACCCAGTGGGCAGTTGACTAGTGGGAGTTAAATACTTTGTTTTAGGAGTGTGCAGCTATGCTGTTTGAAGCAGCAGGAGTAAGATTACCTAGAGAAAGTTGAGTGAGTTTAAGAAAGACCTGAATTAAGACCTGGTCAGTTCTGCCATTTTTATTACGAGTATAGGAGAGAGAGGAGTCATTGAAGAGGGACTGAACAAGGAGGAAGAGAAAGTAAACTGAAAGCTAAGGAGAGTTCCATCAGGTAACTGACTTACTGTAGTATAGTGACTCAGAATCTCCTATTTGGTTACTAAGAATTGATTCTTTAAAAAATTACTTATTTTTATTTATTTTTTTTTAATTTAATTTTTTTAAAAGATTTATTTATTTATTATGTATACAGTGTTCTGTTTGCATGGATGCCTGCAGGCCAGAAGAGGGAGCCAGATCTTTTTACAGATGGTTGTGAGCCACCATATGGGTGCTGGGAATTGAACTCAGGACCTCTGGAAGAACAGCCAGTGTTCTTAACCTCTGAGCCATCTCTCCAGCCCCATAAAAAATTACTTATTTTTAAACAGGGTCTCACACTGTAGCCTAGGTTGCCCTTGAATTCTGCATTAGCCTCCTGAGTGCTGGAATTATGGGTGTGAGCCACTATACCCAGCTGAAAAATTGATCTTAACAATAGTTAAGTAGTGTATTTATGTATGTATAAGGAAAAGATACAGCTGAATTACAGTTGTTGGAAGGCACTGAATGGAAAATGAGAAAGCAGAATCCGCAAGTATTCAATTTCCTCTTTTAAGAACTAAGCAAAGAAGGCTGAAGATGGTGTAATATTTTAAGAGAGAAGCAGATGTTTTACAAGACAGAAGACTACCATGAGGAAATAGAGCTGGAGAAGAGTGTGAAACCTAAATTGAAGAATGGGAAAAGCTGGAAGTAGGCTTTCCAGTGCATGTTGAAGTCTCATGGAAGGAGTAGGTTCTTTGGAAAATAGACTAGAATGAGAACTATCATGAGTAAGAGGTAGAAAGACCATGAGCTGACAAAAATTGTTACTAATGACATCTCACAAGTGTACATCATTTTTCTTTCTTTCTTTCTTTTTTTTTTGGTTTTTTGAGACAGGGTTTCTCTGTGTAGCTTTGTGCCTTTCCTGGAACTCACTCTGTAGCCCAGGCTGGCCTCGAACTTGCAGAGATCCGCCTGCCTCTGCCTCCCAAGTGCTTGGATTAAAGGCGTGTGCCACCACTGCCCAGCGAGTACATCATTTTTCTAAGTGGGCTTGGGATAGCAAGTGAGACGAGGTTTTCCTGAACATTGCTGTGCTCTGAAAGCATGCCTCAGTGTTTCTGATCATTTGAAATTTCTGTGAGAGAAGGCACTTTGAGTCCCCCAAAACCAAGGAAAGATGTTTTAGTGAGTCATTAATGTTCATTCATCAGATATTCAGTGGCCTAATATATGGAAAGCTGTGATGACTATATGTGATAACTCCTCCCCTTCCCCAGCATTTCTTTGTATATCCCTGGCTGTCCTGGAACGCCCTCTATAGAGGAGGTTGGCTTTAGAGATCAGCCTGCCTCTGCCCTCCAAGTGCTGGAATTAAAGGCGTGTGCCACCACTGCCCAGCTCAGAGAGAACTCTTCCATTTTGGCATATTCCCTTTATTTTAAAAGTTTTTTTTTTTTTTTTTACATTGCTGAGGATCAAACCCAGGACTGTAGTTGAAAGATTTCCTATGTCCCACCTGGTCTGTGGTCGGAACAAATCTTTCCCACCCGAGGTTCTTCTGCAGCTGCTGGGACCCCAGTAAACACACAGAGGCTTCTTTATTTACAAACTGTATGGTCTATGGCAGGCCTCTTGCTAGCTAGCTCTTATATCTTAAATTAACCCATTTCTGTTAATTCAATGTTTTGCCACTTGTTCCGTGGCTTACTGGTCTGCCGGCATGTTATTCCTTGGGGCGGCAGGCTGGCGTCTCTCTCCAGACTCTGCCTTTCTCTTTCCTTTTTCTCTCCTTGGATTTCCTGCCTTCCTCTAAGCTGCCTTGCCATAGACCAAAGCAGTTTATTTATTAAACAGTGGGAACAACATATATTCACAGTGTACAGAAAGACATGCCCCAGCACAGGGACTTGCACATGTTAGACAAAAGCTCTGTAACAGAGAGCTACATCCTTGAAGATTTTACATATGAGCTAGGCATGGTTGCACACTTTTTTTTTTTTTCCTTCGAGACAGGGTTTCTCTGTGTAGTTTTGGTGTCTGTCCTGGATCTCGCTCTGTAGGCCAGGCTGGCCTGGAACTCACAGAGACCCTCCTGGCTCTGCCTCCCAAGTGCTGGGATTAAAGGCTCGTGCCACTGCCGACTGGCTTGGTTGCACACTTTTTTTTTTTTTGGTTTTTCAAGACAGGGTTTCTTTGTGTAGCTTTGCGCCTTTCCTGGAACTCACTTGGTAGTCCAGGCTGGCCTCCAACTCACAGAGATCCACCTGCCTCTGCCTCTCGAGTGCTGGGATTAAAGGCGTGAGCCACCACCGCCCGGCTGGTTGCACACTTTTAATCCCAGCTCTTAGGAGGTAGAGGCAGGAAGATTTCTGTAGTTTCAGGTTAGCCAGGGCTATGAAGTGAGACCATATGTCAAAAACAAACTCCAAACAAACCATAATTTTATATATGTATATATTTTGGCTTATTTATATATAGCATGTATCTACCAAAGTAATAAGACGTCTTTTTTCTTCCATTCTGGGAATTGAACCCAATACCTTGTGCGTGGTGCACAAGAGATCTACATGCTTTTGGGATTAAAGGTATTCGTCACCATGCCTGGCTGAAAACGTCTTTTTTTTTTTTCTGTGACAGTGTTTCTCTATGTAAATTTTTACAAGGCTATTTAGCCTTGGCTGTCCTGGAGCTAGCTCTGTAGACCAGGCTGGCCTTGAAGTCATAGGGATCCACATGCCTGGCAGAACACCCCACTCCCACTCCCCAAGAAAGGGTTTCTCTAGTCGGGCGGTGGTGGCGCACAGCCGGGCGGTGGTGGCTCACGCCTTTAATCCCAGCACTCGGGAGGCAGAGGCAGGCGGATCTCTGTGAGTTCGAGGCCAGCCTGGGCTACCAAGTGAGTCCCAGGAAAAGGCGCAAAGCTACACAGAGAAACCCTGTCTCGAAAAACCAAAAAAAAAAAAAAAAAAAAGAAGAAAGGGTTTCTCTGGGTAGCCTCATCTGTCCTTGAACTCACTCTGTAGACCAGGCTGGCCTTGACCTCAACAGAGACCTGCCTTTGTCTCCCAAGTGCTGGGATTAAAGGCATGAACCACCACGTCTGGCTCAAAAGCTTCATTATTTTTTTTTAAATTTATTTATTTTATGTGCATTGGTGTTTTGCCTACATGTATGTCTATGTGAAGGTGTCAGAATTTGGAGTAATATACAGTTGTTAGCTGCCATTTGGGTGCCGGGAATTGAACCCGGTCGGGTCCTCTGGAAGAGCAGTCAGTGCTCTTAACTGCTGAGCTATCCTTCCAGCCCCAAAAACTTCATTTTTGACAATGCCTGTAGTCAGTTTTCCTTCCCACATTTTTTTTTCTTTTTTAAAAATATTTATCTATTATGTGTACAGTGTTCTGTCTGCATGTATCCCTGTAGGCTAGAAGAGGGCACCCGATCTCATTACAGGTGGTTGTGAGCCACCATGTGGTTGCTGGGAATTGAACTCAGAACCTCTGGAAGAACAGTCAGTGCTCTTAACTGCTGAGCCATCTCTCCAGCCCCAAAAGAAGTGGCTGGTTTTTTTGTTTGTTTGGTTTCCCCCACCTGCACCCACAAGCCCCCTAGAGAGGGTTTCTCTGTGTAGCCTTGGCTGTGCTGGAACTCACTCTGTAGACCAGGCTGGCCTCAAACTCACAGAGATCTGCCTGCCTCTGCCTCCTCTGCCTCCGGAGTGCTGGAATTAAAGGCGTTGTGCCACCACTACCCACACATTTTTTTTTTCTAGGTTAATCATAAAAGTAAAAATTGCTCACTATATATGAGGGGAAAAATATTCTTGAAGTTTCAAAATGGGATAGTTTCTGATAGTTGAAAACTTGGGACCAAGGCAAATTAGGGCTTGAGTAACAGTAGTAGGGGGAAATGGAATTAATAGAGGAGACCATTTGGAGCAGGAGATTTGTTTGTGGGAGAAAGGTAACTATGTATTTGGATATTTATCTTTTAAGATAGATTCATAATATGTAAGCCGAGGAAATTTAGCATATGTATGTCACTTTGTGAGCACTTTTCTTTTGAACCCTACTTCCCAGTGCAGAATAAACTTTCTTCTTTTGTGTTCCCTTAGTGCATGTAGAATTGATCTCACCGTATTAATAGTTCCCAGTCTCCTTACCCATTCAATACTGCATTTCTCAAAGGCAGAAGCCATGTATTTTTTAAAAAATAGTTTTTATGTAAATGTAAATTTTAGTTAAAAATTTATATGCGGGGCATAGTGGCACCTGCCTTTAATCCTAGCACTCATGGAAGCAGAGGCAAGTGGATCTCTGATTTTGAGGCCAGCCTGGTCTACACAGAGAAATGCTACACAGAGAAACCCTGTCTCAAAAAAAGAACTTAAAAAATTTTTTTTTGCATTTTTGTTTACTTAAAATTTGTGTGTGTATATGTATGTTATTTATTTTGTATGTGTGTGGATCAGTTACACATTCTATATGGCACATATGGAATTCATTAACAGATTGTTCTTTTTTATTTTACAAGTTCAGTTTGTTTTTTTTTTTTTTTTTTTTAAATCTTTATGTGCATTGGTGTTTTGCCTGCAGGTATGTCTGTGTGAGAGTGTCAGATCTTGGAGCTGCAGACAGTTGTGAGCTGCCATGTGGGTGCTGGGATTTGAACCTGGGTCCTCTGGAAGAGCAGTCAGTGCTCTTAACTGGTGAGCCATCTGTTCAGCCCTGTTTTTTAGTTTTTTTTTAGATTTATTTATTTGGGCTGGAGAGATGGTTAAGTGGGTAAGAGCACAGGCAATTCTTAAAGAGGACATAGGTTTTCTTCCCATGACTTTATATGGTGGTTCACAAGTCTGTAACTCTACTTCCAGGGGATCTGATGCCATCTTCTGGCCTCTTTAGTCACTGCGTGCATGTGGTACTTAACACATACAAACACTCATCTACATAAAATAAAAATATAGGGTTCAGTCCCTGAACCCACAGTGTAGAGAGAGAACTGACTCTTGAAAGTTGTCCTCCGACCTCAACACACATGTGCCCACACTTAAAGACACACAGAATAATGATAAAATTAAGAAAAAATTGTTTCTATTTTTTCCTGCCTCCCCAGCACTTAGACAGCAGCCTCTTTTTTTGTTTTTTATTTTTGTTTTTTAGACAGGATTTCTCTGTGTAGCTCTGGCTGTCCTGGAGCTCACTATGTAGACCAGGCTAGCCCTGAACTCAGAGATCCGCTTGCCTCTACCTCCCAAGTGCTGGGATTAAAGGAATGAGCCACCACTGCCTGGCAAAATTTTTAATTAAGAAGAATGTATATTCTTGCTGTTCGTGATATTAAAGAAAACCTTTTGTTTTTAACCATGCAATATGTGAGCTGTGGATTTATAAACTATAACATATCGAGGTACTTACGAAGTTAGGTTTTGGGGCTGGAGAGATTGCTTAGTGGTTAAGAGTATATATTGTTCTGGCAGAGACTCTGAGTTTGATTCCAGCACTCACAGCTCACAACTATCTATAACTCCAGCACCAGTGGATCTAACACCCTCTTCTGGCGCGCGCACACACACACACACACACACACACACACACACAAAATTTTAAGGAGTGATGTTTTAAACATCCTTATGTTCCTAGTACTTAATAGTTTGGGCATAGTTGTTTTTCAATTGCTTTTCCCTCTTTTTAAGCTGAAGAGGATGAAGACAAAGAAGATGATTTCCGAGCTCCTCTTTACAAAACAGTGGAGATCAAGGGCATCCAGGTGCGCATGAAATGGTGTGCCACCTGCCGCTTCTACCGACCTCCTAGATGTTCCCACTGCAGTGTCTGTGACAACTGTGTGGAGGTAAGAGCACTGCATGGCCAAGACTGTGTAGACTAAGTTGTCTTTCCTTACTGTAGAGTAGATTCTTTTTTAATTAGAATTTTTATTATTGTATGTGTATGGTTGGTTTTGTCTGTATGCATGTTCTGTGCACTACTTGCATATTGGGGGCCACAAGAGGACGTCAGATCCATAGAAATGGAGTTATAGACAGCTGCGAGCCTCCATGTGGGGAATTGAGCCTGGGTCCTCTGGAAGATTACTCCAGCTCTCTTCTTTATAAAAATAGATTTTAAAAAGGTTTGCTTTTATGTATGTGTGTACCTGGTGCCTGAGGAGACCAGAAGGTGGCATTAGATCCCATGGAACTAGTGTAGAAGGATTTTTCTTTGGGCCGCCAACTTACAAAAAGCAACACAGAGACTTGATTATGAAAGCTCGGCCTTAGCTTAGGCTTGTTTCTAACTAGTTCTCTTAACTTAACACATTTCTATTAGTCTATGTGCTGCCATGTGGCTTGTGGCTTTTACCTCTCCTCCTGCATGTCCTGCTTCTTCTGCATCCAGCTGGCAACTCTCCAACTCTCTTTCTTCTTCCTAGAGCTCTCTCTTTCTGTCCCCAGAAGTCCCATGCATACCTCCTGTCTAGGTATTGGCCATTTAGCTTTTTAAAACCAATCACAGTGACATATCTTTATACAATGTAATCAGTTATCTTACAAAAAACTAGAGTTACTAATGGTTGGTTGTAAGCCACATGTGGGTGTGGGGACCCAAACCCAGGTGCTACCAGAACAGCAAGTACTCTTAACTGGGCCATCTTTGTACCCCCTAGTGTAAATTATTTTTTCTTCAAAGATTTATTTTTTTAAATTATGTGTATGTTTGTATTTGCACATGAAGTGCCAGTGACAGAGGAGGCCGAGGCCAGGATCCTCCTAGAGCCAGAGTTACAGTCAGCAGCTGTAAGCTGACTAATGTGAGTGCTGTGAACTAATCTCAGGTCCTCTGCAAGAGCAGCACACACTCTTAATCACTGAGCCATCTCTGCAGTCCCTAGAATAGATTCCTGAAGTATAGTCCTGACAAGCTGCCCATCTGCATGGTCCAGCTGAATCAAATTGTATTTGGAGTACTTTAACTCTAATAACAACTTTACTGACCCCAAGATTCATAGTTTGAGCCTTCCATCCCATGGTTACATAGTGTTACCTCTTTTACAAAAAGCATGTTCGTGTTATAGTTCAACTTTTCTAGCTATCCTTCTGTGTTGTCTTATTTTTATTCCTATGAATCTCAAATGTTTTGCCAACATTTGTCTCTTTGGTCACATAGATTTTTTTTTCCCCCTTAAGCAAGGACTTGTTATGTAGCCCTGACTGACCTAGAACATACTATATAAACCAGGCTGGCCTCAAACTTGTGGCTTTCCTCCTGTGTTGCAAGTACTGGAGTTGTAGACTTGTAGCACCATGCCGATGATGAATTTGAGAACTTGGGTTTTGGCCAACCTCTAGAAGGGCTCTCTTTCAGTTAACAGAGCAAGAGAAACTTCTTTGAATATTTTTAAATTTAATTTTTTAAAACTTTAAATTTTTGTAAGTAAATGGTGAATATGAATACTAAAAGTAGATTAGAGTTCTGTTACTTTGTTCCTCTTTTCAACAGAAGGGATCTAATAATGTTTGCTTGTCTTTTTTTTTAAATGGTTTTGTGTGTGTGTGTGTGTGTGTGTGTGTGTGTGTGTGTGTGTGTGTGTGTGTGTACGTACATGTGCCTGGCACACATGTGAAGGTCAGAGGACAACTTGCAGGGATTGATTGTCTCGTTCTATCATGTAAGTCCCAGGGATTGAACCCAGGTTGTCAGACTTGGTGGCAAATGCCTTCACCTGGTGAGACCCTAGTCTGTGTTTTAAGGATACCTTTTCTTCTATCTCTTTTTTGCTCCTAGGAATTTGATCATCACTGCCCCTGGGTGAACAACTGTATTGGTCGCAGGAACTACAGATATTTCTTCCTTTTCCTCCTTTCCCTGACAGCCCACATTATGGGTGTGTTTGGCTTTGGCCTCCTTTATGTCCTCTATCACATAGAGGAACTCTCAGGGGTCCGCACTGCTGTCACGTATCCTTGGAGGCCTTTGGCTTGTGGGATGGGGTTGGGAGGGCAAGTTGTGTCCTTGAGTCAATAAATTTAAAGGGCAAGTGGTCACAATAGAACTGGGAAAAACAAGATAACATTGCTCTATTTTCCTTGACTACTTGGAATCAGAATGGCAGTGATGTGTGTGGCTGGCTTGTTTTTCATCCCTGTTGCTGGCCTCACAGGATTTCACGTGGTGCTGGTGGCTAGGGGGCGCACAACCAATGAACAGGTACTAGAGCTGCAGGAGACTGACGGCATGTTTCAAACCCTTAGCTCGTGAAGAACATAGCACTTTCACAGACAGAACCTCAGCGAATACTTGTGTGATGTCGAGATTTACAGTAGTGGGCAAAGTGGTTGAAGTAGGCCTAGGTCATCAATAAGTGGATTTAAAGCTGGGAATGGTGCTGCACATTTGTAATCTTATTTAGGAGACTGAGGTAGTAGGATTGAGCTACTTGGACCCTGTCTTCAAAAAAGGAGGAAAAATAACCTTAAGAAATTGCCATGTTCTCATTCTTTTAACAAATATTTAGTCTGATTTTATAGAAACTAGTTGGCACAGGCTTTAAAAAACACGTAGTACTGCTTAAAGATGATTTTTATGCACATAATAACTAAACCTTAATTGCTTACTCTTATCTTGCTGTCAGCCTTCTGTTATCTGTGAATTCTTTAGGTTCAATAAAATATAGATGGGAGTAGACTTGGAAGGAAAATTGCATCAGTACTGAATATATACACCCTTTTTCTTGGCCTTAATATATTAATTATCTAACATACTGTATTAGGTATAATGTAATAGTATAATGATGGAGAGATGAATTAGTGTATATAACATGTACATAGGCTATATGCAAATGCTGTGCCAATTTATATAAGGGAATCTCTGGATTATTTTAGTCAGTATTCAGAAAGTTACTTAATCTCATTTTATACAGGAAGCTGATGTTGAGTGTTGGTTTCCATAAGGTAGACCTAGAATTTCAATTGAGAACCCGATTCTAGAATCCTTTTTTTCTTTAAATTTTATTTTTAGTTCTTGTTTGCTTGTTTGTTTTGGTTTTTCGAGACAGGGTTTCCCTGTGTAACAGTCCTGGCTGTCCTAGAACTCATTTTGTAGATCAGACTGCCTTGAACTCACAGAGACCCCCTTGCCTCTGTCTCTCAAGTGCTAGGATTGAAGGTGTAAGCCACCACCATCTGATGAATCCTCAGTCTTTTTTTTTTTTTTTTTTTAAAGATTTATTTATTTATTATGTATACAGCATATATGACTGCAGGCCAGAAGAGGGCACCAGATGTCATTACAGGTGGTTGTGAGCCACCATGTGGTTGCTGGGAATTGAACTCAGGACCTCTGGAAGAGCAGTCAGTGCTCTTAACCTCTGAGCCATCTCTCCAGCCTAGTCTTTTTTTTTTTTTTTTTTTTTTTTTTTTTTTGAGACAGGATGTCTCTGTGTAATTTTGGTGTCTGTGCTGGATCTTGCTCTGTAGACTAGACTGGCCTCGAACTCACAGAGAGCCGCCTGGCCCTACCTCCCTATGATGGGCTTAAAGACGTGGGCCACCACCACCCAGCTGAATCCTCATTCTTAATCATTACAAGTATCACTTTTGTACTTGAAAGAATGGCTACACAATACTTTGCCTTTTGGCATAGTCTGACGTATCTGGTTCTTTTTATCTCCAAGGTTACAGGTAAATTCCGGGGAGGTGTGAATCCCTTCACCAATGGCTGCTGTAACAATGTTAGCCGTGTCCTCTGCAGCTCTCCAGCACCCAGGTACACCGACATCCTTGGGTGTTCATGCTTAGTCAAACCTTTGTCTCCTTTGGGCTTGTTTTGAATAAGGGAAGTCTGATAGAAAATGGCCTTATAGGGAAGGGTTTGCTCTAGAATGGTAAGTACTACAAGGAAGAGACATGCTGATCTTTTGGTTGGTGAACTCTTGAATTTAATTGATACTGTGTAGCTATGGCTAATTGCCTTTGAGAATTGAGGATGCATAAAATTTAACTCCAGAGTGCTAGATACCTGCTTATAAAGGCCTACTCCTGCTGAAGATGTTCACTGAATCAAATTAGTTTAGCACTAAATTTTACACTAGACTTGTAGGACTGTTTTTTGAATTGATGCTGAAGATTAAACTGAGGGTCTTTTCTTTATGCCTGGGCTGTAAACCCCAGTCCATGACTGTTTATTGCATATGCAGAGTGCTTCCTTCATATTTGGTATGCAAGTAGAAATTTTGAATGAAATAGTAAGTGAAAGCCTTCTCATTCTTTCTACACAGGTATTTGGGGAGACCAAAGAAAGAGAAGACAATTGTAATCAGACCGCCTTTCCTTCGACCAGAAGTGTCAGATGGGCAGATAACTGTGAAGATCATGGATAATGGTATCCAGGGAGAACTGAGGAGGACTAAGGTGAGGAACAGGGAAGTAAAGGTAGCTAAACCCAGGGAATTTCATCCATGATAGAGAGAGAAATCTGCATTGAGTGTACATCTTTGTGTTAAAGTCACTTAAATATAGATCTTTTCTCCATTAGATTTCAAGTTCAGTGACAGTAGACACTGATTCCATTCTTTCATGTCTTCATAAGACACAGTATCTTTCGATGATAGATGCTCAACTTTTCTTTGTCTGTTATCCCCAAACGGACTCTTTTCCCAGTTTAGAAACATAACTGGTTCTCCAGTACTTTTCTTATGCCAATTTAATGTTACCTTAATGCAGTTTCTCAATCTGATTTCCCTCCGTTTATTAGTCTAAAGGAAGCCTAGAGATAACAGAGAGTCAGTCTGCAGATGCGGAACCTCCACCTCCTCCTAAGCCGGACCTGAGCCGATACACAGGGCTGCGAACGCACCTCAGCCTGGCTACTAATGAGGGTAAGTGCTGCCTTGATACGTGAGGTTCTAGAGATAGAAGACAGGGACGAGGTACCATGTAAACTATAGAGAAGATAAGGGCTGGGAGGTAATACTTGAATTATGGCTTACAACACCCAGCGAATGGAGTTTTTCTTTGGATAGCTAAAAGGAGGGCTGCCAGTTAGCAATAGACAGTGATTTGGACTTTCCAGAGAATTACTTTTTACAATTTTATATTATATATGTGCATGGTGTGTGTGGCAGGAGGGTGTTAGGGAGATCAAAAGATAACCTCCAAGAGTTAGTTCTTTCCTTCCACTCTGGATTCTGGGGATTGAACTCAAGTCATCAGATTTTTGTGGCAAGTGCTTTTACTTGCTATGAGTATTCTTGAATCAGAATTTCTTAGAATGTTTGGTGCATTTGCCCACTACAAATTCTGAAACCTGTACAGATCCTTGGGCTTTAAAAAATACCTGCCCTGATCTGTGAGTTTGAGGCCAGCCTAGTGTACAAATTGAGTTCCAGGACAGCTAAGACTGTTACACAGAGAAACCCTGTCTTCAAAAATCAAAATCCCCCCCTGCCCCCAGTGGTGGTGCATGACTTTAATCCCAGCACTTGGGAGGCAGAAGTAGGTGGATCTCTGAGTTCAAGGCCAACATGGTCTACAGAGTGAGTTTCAGGGCAGCCAGGGCTACACAGAGAAATACTGTCTCAAAAAACAAAACAAAAAAAATGAAAGAAACAAGGACTATATAGACCAAAGTGTTGTTGAACTCACAGAAGTCTGCTTGCCTGTCTCCTGAGGGCTGGGATTAAAGTTGTGCTCTATCATACTTGGCTTTATCATTGTTTTTAATTTGTATTGTATGTGTGTGGGTGTTTGGCCTGCATGCATATGTCTGCTCACCACTTGTCTTCCTGTTTGTTTTCTGAGTAGCTGACTGTAGGTCTGTATGTGAAGACCAGGCCCAGCTGAGTCTTTAGACTTAAATTTCAGCAAAATCTTGTTCCCTAGACTTTGCTTTTATTGGGTATACTTGATTCTACCATGTCTGTGTACTTTCAGAAACCTCATGACTGTTAAAAGAATTAACTTGTAAAGTAAGTGTTTTCTGGGTTTCTCCCTGTAGATAGCAGTCTCTTGGGCAAGGACAGCCCCCCTACACCTACCATGTACAAGTATCGACCAGGTTATAGCAGCAGCAGTACATCAGCCGCCATGCCTCATTCCTCCAGCGCCAAGGTACTATCTAATCTAAGAAGTGGGGTCATAACCTATGAGCGGGAACATAAAAACCAAGGGCGTTTTACTGATTATTGGCATAATGGAATTGAATTTCCTTGATGTGTTTTTCATCAAAAAAGGAGCAATGATGAATACTAGACAAAAACATTAATTAGTGTCAAATCTGATTTTAGAAACCACTTCTGTCAAATTACTTAGTCTCTGTAGGCCTCATTTCCAGATCTTAAAATGAAGTATTTGTTCCAAGTCACATTTTGTGTTAAAGGCCAACCATATGATGTCCAAGTTTGAAGTGTACTACTGGCATGTAATTCTGTTCTTCAGTGTCTCTTTGGGCTCTGGTGTCTGGCAGCTGTCAAAGAGTGCTAAAACTGTTTTGTTTTACTCTTCCCACAGTTGAGTCGTGGAGACAGCTTGAAGGAACCAACCTCAATTGCAGATAGTAGCCGCCATCCCAGCTACCGCTCAGAGCCCAGCTTGGAGCCAGAGAGCTTCCGGTCTCCCACTTTTGGAAAAAGCTTTCATTTTGATCCACTGTCCAGTGGCTCACGATCCTCTAGCCTCAAGTCAGCCCAGGGCACGGGCTTTGAGTTGGGCCAGTTGCAGTCCATTCGTTCAGAGGGTACCACCTCCACCTCCTATAAGAGCCTGGCCAATCAGACACGCAATGGAAGTCTATCTTATGACAGCCTACTCACTCCTTCAGACAGCCCTGATTTTGAGTCAGTACAGGCAGGGCCTGAGCCAGACCCACCTTTAGGCTACACTTCTCCCTTCCTGTCAGCCCGGCTGGCCCAGCAACGGGAAGCTGAGAGGCACCCACGTTTGGTGCCAACGGGCCCACCACACCGAGAGCCCTCGCCAGTTCGTTATGACAATCTGTCTCGACACATTGTGGCCTCCCTCCAGGAACGAGAGAAGTTGCTACGACAGTCACCTCCACTTGCAGGCCGTGAGGAAGAACCAGGCTTGGGAGACTCAGGCATTCAGTCAACACCAGGCTCAGGCCATGCCCCTCGTACCAGTTCCTCTTCAGATGATTCAAAGAGATCACCTTTGAGCAAGACTCCACTGGGACGCCCAGCTGTTCCTCGTTTTGGCAAACCAGATGGGCTAAGGGGCCGGGGACTAGGGTCCCCTGAACCAGGCTCAACTGCCCCCTACCTGGGCCGATCAATGTCCTATAGCAGCCAAAAAGCCCCATCTAGTGTCTCTGAGACAGAGGAAGTGGCATTGCAGCCATTACTGACACCCAAGTAAGTATTTGTCTTTTCCTCTTTCATTCAACATAATTAGCAGAAGGCATCAGGTCTTTGGCTGTACATGATTCTAGTATAGGTAGACCCTGGGGATACTGAGAACGCTTTTCGTATTTGATTGCCTTTATGGACAACTCCTCTTTAGAAATTAACACTATCTTCCTGAAAGTTTTATTTGTCAAAGAGTAAGTATATAAAAACTGAAATTAGGAATAAACTGGGGAGAAAGAATCATTTTAAGCATGTCAATAAAGTAAAAGGGACTGAATTGTCTAGGTAAGAAAATGTGGGGAAGCTCACCCCCCACACTAGACCCTTTTTGTGTATGCTTCTGTTTTGTGCATTGTGCGTCTTTTCCTGATGTCTGTTTCTTTTTTTTCCCCCAGAGATGAAGTACAGCTCAAGACCACCTACAGCAAATCCAATGGGCAGCCCAAGAGTATAGGCTCAGCTTCCCCTGGCCCAGGCCAGCCACCTCTCAGTAGCCCCACAAGGGGAGGAGTCAAGAAGGTGTCAGGGGTGGGTGGTACCACTTATGAGATTTCTGTGTGAATCTTGGCGCCTCCCCTCCCCCACACCTCTGCACCTACACCAAAGGGCCTCAGGTGGCCACCTTCCTTCCCTCAAGGGGCTCCCCTACTTTGCATGGACATTTTAAAATCACCGATTCCAAGAGGATGAGGCTTGTTTTACAAAATGCCATGGGGTTGAGGAGAGTCGGGGCCCTGAGACAGGGGTGGCAACCCCTCCCCCCTTTGATCTTTTAAGACCTTCCCTTCTTTGATCCCTGGACCAGACTCAGTGGACATTTGTGCAATTGCTCGCCCTGGAGGGAACCAGATCATTTTTAAACCAGAAATAATTTTTTTTATTATTGTTACGGATTCTATTTTTTTCCTCTTCTCCGTTACCAGGTGTGTGTGTACATATATATATATTATAAATATCAAAGAAATTATATATCTATCCTGGGATGGGAAAACAAGGGAGGGATATATAGATATATATATATAAGGAGGGGGATTTTACTCTTCCCTTTCCTTAGACCAGCAGGAAAAGAGACATTAAAGTCTTCCTTTTCCCCATGGTTCCCTCTTTTGTCCCAGTTATCGACTAAGGAAATAGCACCCTCTGCTGGTGCTAAGTGATTAGGAAAGAAACCTGGTTAAGTCTGGGCTTCTTGGTCAGATAAAGGAACTTGCAGAGTTTTCTAGGCTCATTGACATCTAGTTTCCCCAGGAAAGGGGTCACAGTTCCATGACGGTGGTGGGAGATCAGGAAAAGAGCTTGGCCTAGTTTAGGAAAACATCAGGCAGCCTCCCTCCCCCCATTCTCGGGAGACAGGGATTGTGTGGGCTTAGTGAGCCCCTTCATGCGTCCCTATAACTCACAGTTAAAATGATCTTAAAATCCAAGGCCAGAAGAGAAGAATCCAAAAAGCAATATTTTTCATCATATGCCAAAAATGGGATAGAGAGAAGGAGTGGCAGGCCTAGGCCCCTCCGATTGTCCCCTGGGGTTTACCCCTTAGCCCACCTCAATATGGTGCTGGGTAGAGGGGGTAGCTGGGTTCTGACCTTAAAACAGGGAAGACCCCAGCCTCTATACAGAGACCCTTTAATTTTTTTATTCTGATTAGCCATTTTAAACCAACATGGAATAAAATAAATCCTGATCTAACCAGCTCCCCCTGACTTGTGTTTTATCTGGTTAAGGCAAGGTGAATGGTCTTGTCAAAAGGGAAGCCTCATTCTCTGGTCTGCTTTTATTCTGGCTATCAAATTAAATGCCCTGCTGGATGAGAGAAACCTAACTTTTCATAACAAAAACTTCCTGTCTTTTGAAATCTTCGAGAACTCGTGTCATTCTTTAATTTCCTCTTTAGAAAGTAAAATAGGGGCTGGAGAGGTGGCTTAGTGATTAAAAGCACTGACTGCTCTTGCAGAGGACCCATGTTCAATTCCTAGCACCCACATGTCAGCCCACAACTGTCTGTAACTCCCAGATCTGACACCCTCACATAGACATACATGCAGGTAAAACACCAATGCACATAAGAGTAAATACTTATTTTTTTTTAAAAAGTAAAATAAAAAGCCAGGCATGGTGGTGCATGCCTTTGATCCCCAGAACTTGGGAGGTAGAGGCGGTTGGGTCTCTTGAGCTTGAGGTCTTCATAGCCTGCCAGGGTTACATAGTGAGATGATGTCTCAAAAAAACACAAACCAAAGCTTTTTCCTAAACTACCAAATCCGTATTTAAACTAAAGAATAAGGGGTGGGGGGAGATAAGCTTGCCCAGCATATACAAGGCTTGGGTCAGTCCCAGGAAAAAAGGGTGGGAGCATAAGAAAACAAACACCCAAACACCAGTTGTTTTAAATATACTGGTGATTGTGGGTGTTTTATAATAGTTCCCTGTTGTGTATCAACACAGGCATAAACCTTATCTGGACCAGCTTTCCTGACAGGGGCTGAAGATCATCCAGGCACTGAACATTATGAGCAAAGTATTTTGTGTCTGCTGTGGGAAAATACTAGCAAACTAGCTTTTCAACCACATTCTTTGCTCTCATTTTGATTTCCCAGCCTAAGGAAATGTGATGGCAAGAACCAAAATCTCTTATATCTTAGCAGTCAGTGCCTTGTCTTAAACTTATACACTTGCCAGTCTGTTAAACACACTTTTTTTTTTAAAGAAAAACTTAACAAATGGCATGCTGAAATGAAATTGCACAAGAGTATGAGAGAAAACAAACAAAAAACCCCAAAAACAGCTTCTTGTGAAAAGGGATGTCCATGAAAAAGCCAACTGGACTAAACCATAAAAAAGCATGGCACTTCTCTAAAGTATATTAGTCACAAGCACAGCAGGGGCTGGCCCCTGTCTAGCTGGTAGATGCCCTGAGGCAGTGCCCACGTGCCTGGAAGACAGTTTTTGTCAGCAGGTTCAATATAACAGGAAAGCCATCCTTGGCAGAGTTCAGTGATCCTGTTAGCGGAGGCTGCTGCTGCTGCTGGCCTGTGAGCTGCCCATACCTGGGTGGTCTGGACTATGTCGGTTCTGGAGGAGACAAAGAAAAAGGGAGTAAGAATATTTAGAAACTAAAACCTGGCGCATGCCTTTAATCCCAGTACTCTGGAGAAAGGTAGAAGCCAGCCAAGGCCGAATCTCATTAAGACCTTGTCTCAAAACAACAAAAACCCTAAATCAATAATAAAAGATAAGCCCACTAGCATAGACTTGGAACCTCAGTTGTTTGGGAGGCAGAGGTAGGAGGATTGCAAATTCAAGGCCTGCCTGGGCAACTCAGTGAAATTCTGTCTTAAAAATTATCAATAAACAAGCAAAACAAAAAAATTTTTTTTTTTTTCTTCCGAGACAGGGTTTCTCTGTGTAGCTTTGCGCCTTTCCTGGAACTCACTTGGTAGCCCAGGCTGGCCTCGAACTCACAGAGATCCGCCTGGCTCTGCCTCCCGAGTGCTGGGATTAAAGGCATGCGCCACCACCGCCCGGCTGCAAAACAAAAATTTTTAAAAGGAGACTGGATAGTTCAGTGGTAGGGCACTACCTCAGAGAAAAAGAACAAATGAACTAGCCTTGGCCAATGTTGTAAAAGAAAAATGTTTGCCTTGGGTTTCAATCTTGGGTCCAACTTGAAGCAAAGGATTCTATTTAAGAAGGGTGAGATGGGGACTGAAGAGATGGCTTTGGTTATGAGCATGTACTGTCTTGAAAACCCGAGTTCAGTTCCCAGCAGTTCCAGGGCCAAAGCCCTCTTCTGGTCTCTGGGCACTGCACGTGTAGGGAAACGTATACATAAAACAAACAAACAAAAAAAAAACCAAAAAACAAAAAATGGTTACACCGAAAACTCAATGGGCACTATAATAGCCCTCTTACCTTCTTCTTCTTTTTCTCTTTCTTCTTCCTTTTCCGTTCAGGATCCTCTTCTTTTTTCTTTTTCTTCTTTTTGTGATCTGAATCAGATGGAGTTTCTGTAGGAGGAGATATTAAGAGCCTATAAACTGTTGAGCTTAAGATCTGCTATGAACTCTTAAGGCTACAGGAAAACCCAACACGAGGGAACTGCTTTTTTCTGTGTGTCCAGAAAAGACATGGAGCTGCTGATAGAGCAGCTATGCCAAATCACTGCTTGCCCAAGAAATGTCAATACATGAATTTCTCCTTGGGGAAATCTGGGAGTCCAGAGGAACTAAGCAGACTTGGGCCAGTGTCTTGATCTGAACAGAAGTGCTTCTTACCTGGGGGCACAGGGTCCTGGGTCCGGCTCTGTTTATGCTTATGCTTATTCTTCTTCTTGGGAGGCTGAATGTGCATCAGACGACACTGCTCTGGCAACTGAGGGAACCAAAGGAAGGTCCAGGTGAGTAGAGGAAATCCTTTCTCCCAGACTTGGACAGAAAACTACCTCCATGCCTATTAGGCCTCCCCACTTTTCTTCCCTAAGAAGGGAAGGGACTCACCGGGCCAGTATGGAGGCGGAAACCAGACAGCATGGTCCCTGTGATCGGATTAAAAGAGCTACTAAGAATAGGAGGCTTCTCAATGAGGGAGCGGAGGCTGCTGTTGTCATGGGAGCCAGGGAGATCAATCATCCCTGGCAGGTCAGGCAGGAAGTTACTTAGCTTCTCCTTCACTTTCTTCCCACAAAACTTATTATAGGCCTGTTCCAGGTTGTAGTGTGTGATTAAATTGGTGCTGCCGGTCAGCTCTGTACTGCCTAGAAAACAGCAATAATGAAGTTATAGCAAAAGCAGATGATAATTTTTTGTCACTAACCCAGAAGGGATTGAAGGGAAAAACAACTTTTAGATTTACTTTATGTGTGTGTTTATTTTGCCTGCAGGTATACATGTGTACCGTGTGTGTCTGGTGCCTGCAGAAGTCAGAAGTGGGGATAGGTGCCCTAGAACTGGAGTTATGGATGGCTGTGAGCTGCCCAAGGAACTGAACCTGGGTCTTTTACAAGGGCAGCCCGTACTCCTGTTGAGCCATCTCTCCAGCCCCATGAAGGACTATATTTTAATACTAATGAGGAATCTATTAAATAAGAACATCTTAATCACTGTTCTATTGCTGTGAAGAGACATGACCATGGCAAATCTTAAAATTGTGAGAAAGCACTTAACTGGGGGCTTGCTTACAGTTTCAGAGGCTTAATTCATCATCATGGCAGCATGGTACTGGAGGAGTTGAGAGCTACCTATTGATCCACAGGCAGAAAGAGAGCCTAGACCTGGCATGGACTTGTGAAACCTCAAAGCCCACCTCCAGTGACATACTTCCTTCAACAAGGCCACACCTCCTAATCCTTCTAATCTATTCAAGGAGTTCTACTCCCTGGTGACTAGACATTCAAATATATGAGTCTATTCTTATTCAAACCACCATAATTATAGAATTCCAGCACTCAAAAGGTTTCAGATTTTGGAGCATTCCATACTTCACACTTCTGGATTTGGGATATGTAACTAGTAAAATCTATGCAAATATTCTGAAAAATTGTAAAATTTGAAACATTTTAGATAACAAACACTAAACCTGTGATAATAGCCAGGTGTGGTGGTGCATACCTGTAAGCCAGTAATGCCAGCACTGAGGAGGCTGAGGCAAGACAGTTGCATTCCAGGCCAGCTTGGGCTATATAGTGAGATCCTGTCTCAAACACCCCCAACTCAGTAACATATAACAAACATAAAATATTATACTGTGGGCTAGAGAAATGGAAAAGGAATGGAGCAGGGTAGAGATAGAAACTGAAAAAACAAAACAACCCAAAACAAAACCAGACTAACTAGAATAACTTACATGACACTGTATCAAACAGATATTGTTCCGCATTTTATAAAATGTCTCAGAAACATCTCTGCCTGGATCAGGGTAACAGAACCTTAAAGTTTAGTTACAGCTACACTAAAAGTTACTACTACAAATTGGATGCAGTGGCATGAGGGTCTTGTCAGTGGCCCTCTGCTGGCTGGCTGTGTATTTTTTTATTGAGACAGTCTCTTGCTATGTAGTTCTAGCTGGCCTCAAACTTATGGCAACTTCCTGCGTTAGCCTCCCCGAGAGTGCTAGTGTTACACGTGAGTGCCACCATGCTTGGCTTTATTATTATTATTATTATTTTTTAAAGATTTATTTATTTATTATGTATACGGAAGAGGGTGCCAGATCTCATTACAGATGGTTGTCAGCCACCATGTGGGTGCTGGGAATTGAACTCAGGACCTCTTGAAGAGCAGTCGGTGCTCTTAACCTCTGAGCCATCTCTCCAGCCCTATTATTTTTTTTTTTAATAGGAAGAAAGACTAATCACCACAGGAAAACAGTAGATTTTTGTGGCTGTGACTACCTTATGACCAACATGTTTATTCTTCATGGTACCAAGTATTACCTAGAAAGAACTACTCAATCAAAATACAAGCAACTATAGAGTTCTAATACTAGCTGTCCTGTCTGCCGCTGTCTCCTTTTATCTATGTAATAGGATAATAACTTTGCATTTCATTATTTTTAAGGCTCATTGATTAATTCTGACAACATACAGATAAGATGACTTGTTTATGATCATTTACTTGGGAAAATTCAGGTTCTGAACTGTGAGTCCTTGAGGGCAGAGATGGTGTCTTATTCACATGACTAGTTAGTGCCCAGGTTATACACTAAAATGTTTCTGAAATAAACAATCATTATTTTTCTTCTGGTCTAGTTCTTCCGCCACTGTTTCCTTCTCTTCACTGTCAAATAACTAGAAGAGTGATGTGCAACAGTGTTGGATACTTGGCATTACAATGCCTCTCATAACTGGCACTGCCTTCTGCTTGCCAGGGCTTCTCCTTCCAGATGGTTATGTTTAAGGTTCTGTTGAGAAAGTTCTTGGTGCTTTTCATAATTTCTAAAAAACGGAGTTCAAGCTGATCTAAGTGGCATACACCAGTAATTCCAGCTCAGGAGGTGGAGGCAGGAAGATCAGGAGTTCATGCTCATCCTTGACTACATGAGTTTTGAGGCCATCCTGGGTAACATGACACTTCATCAAAAGGGGAAATTAAGGAAGTAAATATCAGGGAGCTCAGCAGATGGCCCAGATTCCATTCCCAGCACCCACAGGGCAGCTTATAGGCATCTGGAACTCCCATTCCAGGGAATCTGATGCCCTCTCTGACCTCCATTGATACCAGGCACATACATAAGCCATATACACACATGCAGGAAAACATTCATACATATAAAATAAACACTAAAAAAATATAGAAATATGAGTTTAACTCTATTTAAACTGTTAGGTCTTTGAAAATGATTTATAAACTTTCAGAAGCCATGATTCCTGAAAATAAATCTTGAAATGTGAACTCCATGCAGATTCATTTTTTTTCCTTCTTGAAATTCTAAATCCTGTTCACATTACTATGGCCTCTTTATTCCAATTATTGGAACTCACATTCTGTAACTGTAGAAAACAATACTTCTTAATTAAAACAAAACAAAATAAAAAACAGTGATAGAGTGCTTGTGTAGCAATGTCGAAGGCCTTGAGTGTGATTCTCAGTCCTGGGGGGTGGGGTAGGGAAGCAAAGAAACTGCTACTTAAATTCCCATAGTGCAAGCCACTCAAGCCACCTGGTGGCAGTGCATGCTTTTAGTTTTTATTCCAGCACTCAGGAGGCAGACGCAGGTGAATCTCTGAATTCGAGGCCAGTCTGGTCTACAAAATGAGTTCCAGGACAGCCAGAGCTACAGAAAAACCCTGTCTTGAAAAATAAACAAACAAAAAATCAAGATACTTGTGCCTAATACTTTTTTTAATTATCTTTTTTTTTTTTAGATTTACTTTATTTTGTATGTATGAGTGCTTTTCCTGCATGTATGTATGTTTGCCACATGTATGCATGATAGATGCCTATGGAAGTGGTGAGCCCCTGAGTGGGTGCTGGGAATCAAGCCCCAGTCCTCTGCAAGAACAAGTGCTTTTAACCACCGAGCCAACTCGTTAGCCATGGAGCCTAATACTTTTTAAAAAATGATTTATTAAAAAAATTTTTTTGAGACAGAGTCTCTCTCTGGTTTGTCAAGTATGGCGACTGAATATAGGACTTTGTGCTACATCCCCAGGCTTCCTCCTATTCATATTTTTTTTTTTTTTTTTTTTGGTTTTTCGAGACAGGGTTTCTCTGTGTAGCTTTGTGCCTTTCCTGGATCTTGCGCTGTAGACCAGGCTGGCCTCGAACTCACAGAGATCCGCCTGCCTCTGCCTCCCGAGTGCTGGGATTAAAGGCGTGCACCACCACCGCTCGGCGATATTTTTATTCTAACTTAGCTTTGGAGCCTCATCGACCACTACTCATCCATGGAAAATTTCTCTTTTTCTAGGTTTTTGAAGACAAGGTTTCTCAGCTGTTAAGCTCTGGCTGCCCTGGGACTCACTCTGTAGACCAGGCTGGCCTCGAACTCACCATCTGTCTGTCTCTGCCTCCCAAGTACTGGGACTAGAGGCGTGCATGCATCCACCCAGCTGACATCTTGTTCTCGATGTCATTTTGGCTAACAGCAAATTCTGAAAACCATCAGGTTGCTCTTAACATTTTTCCTAAGATGTGTGAAGGATGACTACAAAGTAGTAAGACTGACACTAATGAAAACACAAGCACAAGCCTCAAACCATGATCTCCACTACTAACACCAGCCCTCCCTCCATTCCTACATACCCAGCATCTGCCTCAAGCAGAAATTTAGTATTTGTCAGCTGATTTATGTTGATTAACTGATAAACATGTACAATTAGAACAGGTAATGCGGGGCTGGAGAGATGGCTGAGGCTGTTCTTCCAGAGGTCCTGAGTTCAATTCCCAGCACCCACATGGTGGCTCCCAACCATCTGTAATGAGATCTGGCGCCCTCTTCTGGCCTGCAGACACACATGCAGGCAGAACACTGTATACATAATAAATAAATAAATCTTTAAAAAAAAAAAAAAAGAACAGGTAATGCAAAAGATAAACTGGGGCATGGCGGCACACACATGGAGGCAGAGGCAGGTGGAGTTCAAGGCCAGTCAGATCGACAGAGAATTCCAGGCAAGCCAGAGCTATATAGTGAGACCCTGTCTCAAAACAAACAACTAAAATAAAACTGCCGGAAGACACCTATCACTAAAGCATAGCCAATCTCTTTATGCTTCAGTTTCTCAATTATAAAATACAATATCTATCTAAGAGGGCTATAATAACTGTTACACACTGATGTGAATGTCAAACTATTTTGCTAATAGTTATTGGAATGAACTGAGGACTTTTTCTTTTGAAGCAGGACCTCATGCCACCTAGGCTGGGCTTGAACTCTGGATCCTCCTGCTTGCACCTCCTGAGTGCTGATGTATAGTACCACAAGTCCCTAAGACTTAACATGTCCAGAACACTTCTTGATTTTTCAGCCTGTCAACCTTTTTCTCTCCACAACTTCCTACTCTCAGACTACCATAGCCTCTGCACAAGACCCAATTCCTTTCTTCTTTTATATTTAGTTCTTTATTTCTGTAGGCTCTGCTTCTAACATGTATTCTGTATCCATTTACTTCTTTACTGCTAAGATTTGGTCCAAACCATTATCTCTTTCCTGAACACTGACTGGTAACTTCTGATTATCCCATTTTCATTCATTCTGCTGAATATCTGAAAGTCAATAAATTAGATCATATTGCACCCATGTTGAAATGGCTTCAATTTGAAATTTACACACCCTATATTGCCTTATAAAGGCTTTGCCTATCTCCCATCACTATTGGATTTGTTCGTTTTACTCGAGTCCAAACTGTCTTCTGGCCCTCAGATATTCCTCCAAGCTAATCAAGTTTCTTGTATCTAGAAGTATCTGTTCTCTGTCCACGGGTGGATTTGTTTACTCTTGAATGCTACCTACTCAGAGAACATTCTGTGAAAACACCGCCTCAAGCATGGCAGGCAAGAGTCTCACCACTGAGCCACATGCCCCCAATTTCCAAATAATGGTATGAATGACAGAGTTGGTTCAATTTTAGTATTTTCTTTAAACATGTTAATCTCCGAGTCCCTGACAAAGATGGCAACTTGCTATATACCTGACAGGCTTTAAAATCTTAAAGTCTCCAGAAATGTTAAATCAGGTTTCCCGGGTTCCAAACAATGGCTCACGTTTTTTAGAGTCACAAACGGCAGTCAAAGAACCCAATCACAGAACTTCTCGCCAGAAGTAGTCCCGGATATTCACGCCCACCCCAAATCCACCCCATGAAATCAAGCTATCTCTTAGGGTTATGACTCGCCAAAGAGCTTCTAACTCTTGAGTTGCCCACTGGCCACGCGTCGCCCGTTACCTCACACCTCGCAGAGCAGGCTGATAGCCACACCCGTCACCTAATCTATTATCTGACTGGCTGCTTTTGGCCCCACTACTCACCCGGCAATTCCCGCATAAGGTAGAAGGGCCCGCTTCCAGCAGTCGACTTGTCTGCGCCCGCGGGGGCCGAGGTCGCAGTCGGGGGCGGGGCCGTGCCCGGACCACCTCCCGGAGGGGGTGGAGGTGGCGGGGGCGGCTTTCCCGGCCCGAAGCCTAGGGTGCTTGGGGGCGGTGGGGGGTCAGCTTGAGCTCCAAACAGCGCCGTGAAATTCTCCATAGCACTCTCGGCTGCTGCGTTACCCGGGATCTGGCGTTAATGACTTTCATTGGACAGTTACTTTCACAGAGTACCACCCTCGTCCTCGTAAGAGCTTCCTGTCATTGGATGCATTAGGCCCCGCCTACCATCTTCCGGCAACTACTTCCGTCGCTGTTCGGGAAGCAGTTCGCAGTCTTATAGCCAATAAAATGACTCAGGTAGAAAAGCGACAACTACGTGAACCAATAGACTACCTAACTCATTTTCTGATCTATCATAGCACCCAATAAGAGATCTACATCCGGGTCCGGAGGCGCTGCATCTGATATTTGGCCCAATAGAAGCCTCGCTGGTGGGGGCGGCGGAGGGAAGAGCTGGGGGCGGGACGGAGCCTGCGAGAGAACAGGCAAGAAAGATGGCTGTCCTCGCGCCTCTGATTGCTCTGGTGTACTCGGTGCCGCGGCTTTCTCGATGGCTGGCCCGACCTTATTGCCTTCTGTCTGCCCTGCTCTCCGCTGCTTTCCTCCTCGTGAGGAAACTGCCGCCGATTTGCAACGGTCTCCCCACGCAGCGCGAAGATGGTAACCCGTGTGACTTTGACTGGGTGAGCGCCCCCTGCCTCAGTAGCTCTCGACCTTGACCATCTCTGCCCCTGCAGGTGCATATGAAAGTATAGGGGTAGATTTCGGGATGTAACCGTTCTACAGACTTAGTGGAGATCCTAGGCCGCTACTAGTCTTAACCCCTTTGTTTAAGATGGAGAAATATTCCAGGGTTTCCTTCACATATGAACAGCCTTCTGCAGTGATGCCAAGCTTCCTGGGGCGCCGGTGAGGAAGACGGGCCAGTAGTAGAAATACCATTTCTATTTATTTATTCATTCATTTATCTATCTATCTATCTATCGTCTATCTATCTATTAGAAATACCATTTCTATTTATTTACTCATTCATTTATCTATCTATCGTCTATCTATCTAGTAGAAATACCATTTCTATTTATTTATTCATCTATCTGTCTGTCTATCTATCTTCAAACTGATCTCAGTGTAGTTAGGCGACTTTTCCAAGGTCACACAGCATTCAGAAACTGCTGTCTAACCTTGTGTAATTCTCTGGTAGGCCGGTCGACTTTGGTCGCTAATTCAACAAAATGACTTAGGTGGAAAAGCAACCGCATGACTACCCTGGCCACCGTAACTTCACACACTATCATCCTCAGGGGGTAATAGAAAAACGGGGAAGATTACAAAAACACGAGTCGAGGGGAGCCCCTCACTATCCGAGAAGCAATAATTTCAGAACAATTACCATTCGCTGTGAAAGGTTGTGGGCATAGAGCTAATATTCCTTTCCTGTACAAATGTTTATGTTAAAATAGCAGTGACCCAGACTTAAGGCCTATAACCTTGGGCAGATCTCATTACTTTCCTCGGACATTTCTGGGACTCTCAAACAAGATTATTAACTTTTTTTGCATTAAAGATACCATACCTTTCCAGGCTTTGTGTAGTACCCCTTTAGCCCCAGCACTCTGGAGACAGAGGCAGGTGGATCTCTGTGAGATTGATATAGGCCCTCCTGGTCTATATAACACATTCCAGGTCAGTCAAGACTACATAGCGAGACCCTATTTCAGAACAACACCACGCCAAAGACCCTACTTTCCTCCATTCCTGTGCTCTAGAGTCGTACCTTATAAGTTGTAACAATGCCAGGTGCCTCTTAAGAATCGCCCTATGGGGGATGGAGAGATGGCTCAGAGGTTGGGAGCACTGGCTGTTCTTCTAGAGGTCCTGAGTTCAGTTCCCAGCAACCACATGGTGGCTCACAACCATCTATAATGAGATCTGGTGCCCTCTTCAGGCCTGCAGGCATACATGCAGGCAGAACACTGTGTACATAAATATATAAATTTAAGACGAAAAAAAAAAAAAGAATCACCCTATGAAGCTGGATGGTGGTGGCACACTCCTTTAAATCCCAGCACTTGGGAGGCAGAGGCAGGCGGATCTCTGTGATCTCGAGGCCAGCTGGTCTACACAGCGAGTACCAGGACAGCAGGGATACACAGTGAAACCCTGTCTCAAAAAACCCAAGGGAAAAAAGAAAAGAATCACCTTATGATTTCATCTAGGCTTCTTAGCTGCCCTTTGAAGATAACTTCAAATCCCACCAGTATGTTACAGATGACTATGGTGAAGAAAATGAAGTACCCATGCCCTATGAAGTGCCCACGCCCTTGAGTCTTTCTGAACTCCTTTTTCTCCCTTAACCTACATACTTACAAGCCTATACTAAAATAGTTTAGGGCTAGAAAGATGGCCCGGTGGTTAAGAACACATACTGTCATGCCAGGCAGTGGTGGTGCATGTCCTTTAATCCCAGCATTTGGGAGGCAGAAGCAGGTGGATCTTTGTGAGCTTGAAGCCAGCCTGGTCTACAGAGTGAGTTACGGACAGCCAGGACTACACAGAGAAACCCCTTCCCAAAAAACAAAAACCAAACAAACCCCAAATACTCTTCTGATAATCCAAATTTGATTCCCAGTGCCCACATCAGGAGGCTCATGGCTGCCTGTAACTCCAGCCTTAGGGATCTCTTTTTTAGGCACCTGCAATCAATTGCACATATCCAAACACATGCACGTGATAAAAAATAATAAAAGTGAATATTGAAATAGTTTTAAGAAGATCTCAACTCTGGGCCTGGAGAGATGGCTCAGTAGTTATGAGCACTGGCTGCTCTTCTAGAGGACTTGGGTGAGGTTCCTCACACCCACACGGTGGGTCACAACTATCCATAATTCTAGTTCTAGCATTGACCTCTGGTCTCTGCGAGCACTAGACACATAGTAGTACACTTATAGACATTCAGTTAAACCACTAATACACATAAAGTAAAAATAATTCATTAAAAACAAACACATGGGGCTGGAGAGATGACTTAGCAGTTAAGAGCACAGACTGCTCTTCTAGAGGACCCAGGTTCAATTCCTAGTACCCACATGGCAGTTCACAACTATCTGTAAGTCCAGGATCCAACATCCTCACACAGACATATATATAGGCAAAACACCATTTAAAAAAAAAAAAAAAAAGAATAAACACATACACACCAAACTCTTTAGAATGGCCAACTGTGAAACTCCTTTATTGAAACTATGAGTCCCAATTTGACCTGAAAGGGTTCCTAAAAGATTAGGGGAGCTCCTCAGGCTGTGCCAGCAACAGTGGAGCTGCGCCTATAGTCCTTACTGACCTGGAACTTGTTATGTAGACCAAGATAGGTTTGGGCTTTTGGCATTTCTCCTGCCTCTACCCTCCAGAATGCTGGGTTCACGTGTGTACACCACTAACTGTGGGCTTACACTTTGGGTATCCTGAAGATGCAAAACAATAAAAATTTGAGGCTCACTGAAAAGAAATTGTAGTATACTACTAACAATAGTAATTGTTAAGAAGTGCAGCATGGTAGTACACGTGTAATATCAGCATTTGGGAGGTGGAGGCAGGATCACAAGTTTAAAGCAACATAGGGAGTTGGGTGCCATCTTGACCTACAAAACATTCTCTAAAAAAAAAAAAAAAATAAAGACAAAACATTGTAGCCTAAGCTATGCAGCAAGATCCTTTCTCAAAACCAAATGACAAAAAAGCGCCCAGCACTAGAGAGGCTGAGGTGGGAGGAGCTTCAATGAGTTTGAAACTTGCCTGGACTACACAGTGAGAGAGAAGGAAAGTTACCCTCTGCCTTCCACATGTGTGCTGCGGCCCATGCAGGGAGTACACACATGAAACCAATAAATGTAGTTAAAGAAAACCAGTGGGACATGGTGATGTACCACTATAATCCTGATACTTTAGAGGCTGAGGCAGAATTGCCTGGGCAGGATAGTGAGAGCAAGTCTCAAGGATAGAAGGAGGGAGAGAGGAAATAGAAAGAAGAGAAAACCCAAAGGTCAGGGATTTGCTGAAAGATACCATTCAGGTGCCAAGGGTAGACTCTAACTTAGCTCTTTTGACTTGTTGGTCCCACTACACCTTAGCCAGATCCAGTTACTTCTTTATCACCAACCCAAGCTGGATCTCTTGTTTTGCATTTCATATTTTGCCCTCATCCCATCAGCCTCATTCACCACGTTGCTGTCACTGACTCTCTTCCAGAGAGAAGTGGAGATCCTGATGTTCCTCAGTGCCATTGTGATGATGAAGAACCGCAGATCCAGTAAGCTTCCCTGCTTTGCATTTATTGGGGGTTAGGACGCATGCCCTACAGAAGCTCCTTTTTCATGTTATTGGAGGAGTGTTATTTAATGAACTAGTTCCACATTTCATGCCAGGGGCTAGTTTGACCTTCAACTTCTGTATCCTCTCCCTCCTGTTCCCATTTCAAAGTACCCCAAGAAGAGGGACAAAAGAGTGGGAGCCTTCAGCCCAGCCTGACTGTGGTATCTCTGTGTTCCAGTCACTGTGGAGCAACACGTAGGCAACATCTTCATGTTCAGTAAGGTGGCCAACGCAATTCTTTTCTTCCGCCTGGATATTCGAATGGGTCTACTATACCTCACACTCTGCATAGGTGAGAAAATGGCTTTTATTACGTTATGGTTCTATAGTTAATTATTTGAAAGAGTAAAGTTCTTTGATAAAGGCTTGATTTTTGAGGACCAGATTCCAGTCCTTATCTTACACCTAATGAGTTATATTTGTAGCTCTTAAGTATATGCAGGTGGTGAGTATTTACTTAGTATTTTAAGAGGAATATGTGCTGGCGATCTATGTACACATGTATATTCTTTGATGTCTGAAATTCCTGAGTGGGTTTGCAAGAAACTGTAAAAGGCCCTGTATGTATCTCTGACATCTTTTCTCTGTGTTCAGTGTTCCTGATGACTTGCAAGCCCCCCCTGTACATGGGTCCTGAGTACATCAAGTACTTCAATGATAAAACCATTGACGTGAGTATTCTACATTCTGTTTCTTGTTTCTTGGTTCCTGCTTTGTGGTTTTGTGCTCTTTATTCATAAAGATGGGGCCTCAGGATGGAAATCATCACTGGGGTTGGTGATGCATAATTGTTTTCCTGGTACTTGGGAGGCTGGGGTAGCATTGCTGCAAGAATGGTTGTTTTTTTGTTTCTTTGTTTTGTTTTTTGTTTTTTTTCCTGTTTTATTGTTTGTTTGTTCATTTTTGTTTTTCAAGGCGAGATTTCTTGTGTAGTCTTGTCTGTCCTGGAACTCCCTCCATAGACCAGGCTGGCCTCGAACGAAGAGATCCACCTGCCTCTCTGCCTCCCAGATGCTGGCATTAAAGGTGTATGCCACCACCACCCAGCAGATTGCTGCAAGTTCGAGGCCAGTGTAGGTCACATAGTGAGTTCCAGGACAGCCCCAGCTACACAGTAAGATTCTGTCTCAAAAGGAAGGCTGGTCGACTGGTGAGATGGCCACACGAGCCCTGATCGCCTAAACTCGGTCCCTGGAGCCCATGTAAAGGTAGAAGGGGAGAGCCCACTCCACAGAGTTGTCTTCTGTCCCCCATATGTGCACCATGGCACATACACATACACAATAATAATAATAAAAAAATAAACTTTAAAAAAAAAAACGTTCAGGGTGAAAAAGACGGTCCTTGCTGCCAAACCTCAGTCTTCAGTCTGGAAAGAGAAAACTAACTCTAAGTGTGGGCAGTGACACATGTGTCTACACCCACACAATAAATACAATTAAGTTTTTTTAGGTTATGAAAAAAATTGGTCATTTTGCTTATGGTAGACTGCTTGCTTCACGTGCATGAGGCACTAGATTCAATCTTCGATACCAAGAAACAAACCTGAAAAGGTTGTCAGGGTACTGGTTTATTATGCGGAAGGGGAAGTTCAGGCTAAGGAGTTAGTCACAGGTCTGAATCTTCTCAGATGCCCAGCTGTTTCAGCCTATTCTCTCTTCCCTTTGTGTGGTAGGAAGAACTGGAGCGGGACAAGAGGGTCACTTGGATTGTGGAGTTCTTTGCCAATTGGTCTAATGATTGTCAGTCATTTGCTCCCATCTATGCTGACCTGTCTCTCAAGTGAGTATGCAGAGTGAAGCATGTCAAAAATGGAAATGCTGTGGCTTCCTTCCTTTGGCCTAATTTTGTACATCCAAAGTTGTTTCTCCCTTTCTTACCTAGGTATCTCTATTTCTAGTTCCCTTGATCCATCCCTGTATTTTTCAGTATGTTAAATAATATATTTTTTGCAGGTACAACTGTACAGGGCTAAATTTCGGGAAGGTAGATGTTGGACGCTATACTGATGTTAGCACAAGGTATGTAGATGCCTGGGCAGAGGGTCTGAGCTGAGAATTACTTAGAGTGATGGAAGTGATGGATACAGCTGCATGTACAAAATCCTCTCTGGGCCCTTTAGGTACAAAGTGAGCACGTCACCCCTCACCAAACAACTCCCTACCCTGATCCTGTTCCAAGGTGGCAAGGAGGTAATTCGGCGGCCACAGATTGACAAGAAAGGACGAGCCGTCTCTTGGACCTTTTCTGAGGTATGTGGAAAAAAATGGGCAATGGTTTGGAGAAATATATACAACAGTGAATGGGCTTTGTACTTAATCTGGGTTTAATTCTGAATTATGCCACTTGCCCACTGTTTTTAAGGGTGTAGATTAGTTACTGGATGTCACCTAGTAAGTCACTCAGATTTGTTATATGCTTGCTGCTAATACTGAGGAAAATCATAAATAAGACTTGGTCTGTGAGGTGCCTGTAGTTTGTATGCAATTAGGTTCCTCATCAGTAAATCTGAGGCAGTAACACATGACTCATAGGATTGCTTTACAGTTGCATGGAGGTACAATTCTTGGCACAGAAATTGACCTCTAATAGAAAAGAAAAATTAGGTTAGGACAGATTTCTGCCCTCTGATTCCTCTGGTTTCTAGACTGTGCTTAGTTCAATACATCTACTGTCAAGCTCTGAACTTGACCTTCCCACCCAGAGCCTTATGTGTTTTTTTTCATCTCTTTGCATAGGAGAATGTGATTCGAGAGTTCAATTTGAATGAACTATACCAACGAGCCAAGAAGCTGTCAAAGGGTGGAGACAGTGTGTCGGAAGAAAATCCTGTGGCCCCTGCTCCCTCTGCCGTGCCGGATGGGGAAAACAAGAAGGACAAATAGGACCCTGCATTGTTCTTGCTTCTGTCAGTTTCTGGCACCTTTGAGGCCCAATTCCAGCTGTAACCACAATCCTTGCCTGAGGCTGTGGCCATTTGTTTTCTCCTGTTGGGCCATGCCTGGGTTGGGGCAGGGAGCCTGCTTCTGGGTTTTAAAGCATCATCTAGGGAACCATGAAGCATTCTATGGAAAGGCTGTTCTGCCTCGGCCAAGTGTTTCTGGAAGGGAGTGATCTCATAGACAAGAGGTAGAAATGGTTTCCCTCCAAGGTTGGGTCAGCATGTAAACTGCTATTCAACGCTTGGATATCACCAGTCTGTGGTTTCATTATTCCTCCTAGTGAGCCTGCAAAGTATAAACTAAATTAAACTCTAATATTAGATGTCAGAATATAAAGCACTAAGAAATTTTCCTCAAGAACCCTTTCTTCCTTAGGCCTTTCTGGCTTGAACTGTGGCATTCATTAAGATACTTAAGCTTACGGGTGGGGCGGTGGTGGCACACGCCTTTAATCCCAGCACTCGGTACCAGAGGCAGGAGGATCTCTGAGTTCCAGGCCAGCCTGGTCTACAGATCGAGATCCACAACAGGCACCAAAGCTACACAGAGAAACCCTGTCTCGGGAGAAAAAAAAAAGATAGTTAAGCTTAAAGGATTGGAGAAATGGCTCAGTGGTTAAGCACTCACTGGCTATTTTTCCAGAGGACCCCGTGGGGAGGGCTGAACTGTCTGCAACTCTAGTCCCAGGCAAAAGGGGTTTATGTGTTGTAATTTAATCTTTAAATGTCACTGATCCCAGTGAAAAGCCTTCAACCAGAATTTTCATCATTGGAAATAGAACTGAATGATTCCCCTGTATTGTGAGAACTGAAAGGAAGGGCAATGTAAACTTGAGAAGGTCTTTTGTGTGGGACGGGAAGAAGCAAGCCCCAAGTCTGGACAGCTGTTTTCTTGTCCACACAGCTTTCCCTAATAAAGGGATTGTTATTTTGATTGCCTCAGCGTTTCTCCTTTATTAGAAAGTGAGCAGCTGCAAAGGAACTGCCCATTTTTTGTTCGTTTTTGTTTTTTGAATCTAAGACTGAATATTGAACTCAGGGACTCTATACGCCAAACACACCTCTAGACCCTAATTAACTTTTTTTAAGCTTGTGGGTGAGGGTCTTGCTCTGTTGGAGAGATTAACCTCTGAATCTCGATCCTCTTGATTCACCTAAATACCTGAGACTAAAGGCGCCAGCTACAGCGCCGAGATTATATAAATGGGCTCGGGTTCAAAGCCCACTTAACATCAAAGGCCATACCTTTTGGTTTCTCACTTGAGGACGTGGCTCTCCAAGTTCTGTGCGAGTTAGCTAATTTCTGTAGTCTGTGTACAAACGGCACGGAAATGCAGTGTAAACTTCACTTGGAACTGGTCTACAGATCTCAGGATAGGAGGTTTAGGTACAGAAAGCCCCTAGCCGAAAAAGGCGCCAAGTGTGTGTTTTTCTTCTGAGTCTCGCATTAATGTCCCCTTGGCGGAGCAGGGTGGTTTGATCCGGTCTTCCGCACCGCCCCCACCTCCCTTCTGATAGGCTGTCTGATTGTGCTGGAAGGGCCCTGCCTTTACATCACGTGGGCGCCGCCAGCCGCGCTTTCCTTTGCTGGGTGGTTTGGACTGGGCAACTGCGGTTCTGGGTTGCGGGTTTGTCTCTGGGGTTGCGTCGCCACCTTATCCTACCAACGCCTCATCCCCACGTTGTCTCGGCCACCGGAGGTCCGTACCATGGCCCCTGTCGGAAGGAAGCGGAAGGCTGCGCCGGCAGATACAGTAGACAAGCGCGAGAAACTGGCGGAGGGCCCGGCGGTGGTCATCGAGCATTGGTGAGGGGCTGGGAAGTCGCGGGGGGCAGGGAAGCGTAGGCCCTGGCTGCTGCCACCAGAGGCCCCGTCTGCAACCCCTTGTGTGTGTCCGCAGCACGAGCTGACGCGTCTACGGGCGCCATGCGGCTGCCCTGAGCCAGGCTCTGCAGCTGGAGGTCCCAGAGCTGCCTGTGCAGGTGAACCCATCCAAGCCGCGGAGGGGCAGCTTCGAGGTGACGCTGCTGCGCCCGGACAACAGCCGTGAGTGGAGGCCGCGATGGGGGTAGGGGCGAGAAAGGAAACCTGGCCACCTGATGATTGAGGGGATGGGGTAGTAGTGAGTGCCACCATAATTTATCTTTATCCGATCCTTTCCCAGGTGCCGAACTCTGGACTGGTATTAAGAAGGGCCCGCCACGAAAGCTCAAATTTCCTGAGCCTCAAGAGGTGGTTAAAGAATTGAAGAAGTACCTTTCATAAAGACGTTGGGCAGGGAGTCCCCATGCTGAGGTTTGCATCATGACACAGGGATGCACACTGGGGTAGACTGAGAGAAACCGTTACAACGTACCTCACGCGGGATTGAAAAAGAGGGGTAAAACTGTAGAATTTTTGCTGGTAACACCGCCCCCCCCCCCCCCCCCAAAAAAAAAAGTCTTGCCCTACAGGTATGGGCAAGTTTTGCATTTGTTTACTATTTCAGTTTCCCATCTCTGGTGACTATTTTAATTCCATGAGTCTATTGCAAATCTTACTGGTTCAAAAGAGTGTGACATTATTTTTGTAGTAAGGTTTTTCTCCCTGGTAGTGGCAGAATCTTTGTTGTTACTTTACTTGCACTTTGCTGGTTTTTGCTAGTAGTCTGTGTGATAAGGTATCATTACACCCCACCCCCACCCACGCCATTATTGGTTACAAGGATTTGATTCTGTCCCTAGTGCTTTACACAGTGCTTTGGCGTGTTTTCTGCACTTGCATACTGAGCGAGCTCTGTAATTTTGTGTGCTAACCATAGGTGGGCGGGCATGTCTGTGTCTCTCCTGGTCCTTGGGATTGCCTGGAACCCTACTCAGATGTTCCCTTCTCTATTTGCAGCTTTCATTCCCTGGAGATGTTGAAGCATTTATGATAGTGCATGGCCAAACTTAAGCTGTGTACCTGAAGCCATAGTTTCTTCCTCACCAGAAATGATGGTTCAGTTGTGAGGCAGCCCTCCAGCAAGGCATTGTAAAAGTGTTTGGATTGGTTTAATAAAAGTTAAAGTATCTGAGAATAAGGGTCAAGTTTAAATTTTTTCTTAAAAGAATGGACACAACCAGCCTTGTGGGGTTGTTGGTCTTTGTATATTTCACAGTGCAAAGTAACTTCTGTGTGGAAATTGTAGAGTAAAACATGTGAAACACAAAAACATGGATGTTGCTGGGTTTGGTGGTGTATGCCTGCAATCTCAGGACTTGGGAGGCTGACAGGAAGTTTGGGGATCCATGGCCAACCTGGCCTATATAAGACCAGGTTGTTTTTTGTAAAACAAACAACAAACAAAAAACTAGATACAAAGTAAATCTTTTTTTAAAGCAACTACTTTTAATCTACTTCTTGGAAGTGGTTATGGAGGTAACATCTTCCAGGCCCCTGTGGAGGCTTTTGCTAGACTTCTCATACTGGCAGTGAGTAAGCCCCATAGGCTGGGCTTAGTGGCACAGTCCTATAACACCAGCTACAGGAGGCTGAGGCAGGAGTCAAAGTTGAGTGCCAGCCTGGGTAATTTCAGGAGATCCCACTCTCATTCCAGTGTTACACCTAACATAGCTTCATTCCTTCTCAAACATTCTTTAAATAGAACCCAACCACAAACAGTTCTAAGTTTTCCTGAATTTTCAGTGACTGTCAGATATCTCATGAACTGTAAAAGGCCTAGTCTTAACAATTCCTATGTCTTAACTAGAGTTGGGGACCACAATTATTTTATCACTGAAAAATGGATTACAAAGAAATAGCTCAAGTTCATAATTTTCTATCCATGGTATTGCTATTTATTTGATTTCTGCCTGGTGCACAAACCTGGGAAGGGGAGATCAGTGCTGAGAGGAGGAGACATGTGCTTGCTTTTCTGCCAAGAAAGCCTTTTGCTGATCAACAGTTGTCACCCTCCTAGGAGCTCTAACCTGCCCTCTGCCTCCACTATGTTAGTATATCTACCTCTGTTTCTGACTCTGAGGAGGGGTCGGGCCAGACAGAGGGAACACTAGTGGGCCCCAGCCTACCCTCCACTGGCCAGTCTACCACATCAATTTCATCTTCAGAGCTGCCAGGAAACGGGTCCAGCAGTTCAGGGTTAGCAGACACTTCCCTGACTGCCTTGGGAGTAGGATACAATACCTCATCCATGCCTAGGGACACTTCCAGCCCTGTCTCTGCCCAATTTGAGCATGGAAGTGAGAGGTCCCTATAAGACCTTTGGGAAGAGTCAGGGGAGTCAAGGTGGAGAAGTTTTTCTCCCTGACCATCCAGTGGCTGGGAGCTGGTAATTTCAAGATCTGGAGTCCAAGAGCCTCTCAGTGAAAGTGCCTCTCTACTCACCTCAGAGGGCATGACAAGGGGGCTAAGGGGCTCAATTGATTCTGTGTTCTCAGAGTGCATGACAAGGAGACTACAGGGCTCAACTGGCTCTTTGTTCTTGACAACAGGTTCCTTTTCCAATCCTGCGAGGTCTCTGGGCCACAGTTCCATGTCTGGCAAACACCATTCTTCCCCTTCAATCCAATTCTTTCCTGTTTCTGATAGGTGATAACTTGGGGTTCTGCAGCCTTCAGCCCCAGGACTCTCCAAAGACCCTACTGGTGGCTCAACATCTGAGCCACATAGCATGAAGTCCAAAATCTCTTCCAGCTCACTGGTGGCTGCAGCACTTGTGATTCGATACTGCTCAGCTTCACAGGGCTGGTCTAGCAGGGTTGTGTCAAATGTGTAGGGCTCTCTGCAGTCAATATTCAACACAGGTTCCTTCCCTATCAGCAATGGACTGGACCCAAACTCTGACTTCACCACAGGGTGGTCCGGGGAGTGGCTAGCAGAGAGCAAAATGTCTTGTAGCCTAGGGCTCTCTGGGGAGTCCTGACACAGTTGTAATCTAGCAGGTGTTTCCTGCTCATTAACTGAGGACATCGAAGTTCCTGGAGGCTGTCCTACATCTGAGGGTTCTAAGATCTGGGGGCTACCTTGAGTGTTTCTGAGGGGAGGCTCCTGGACTACCTCCCAGCAGGTACCATTGACAATCTTCCTAAGCTTTACTCTTCCAACCTGCCCCTCTTCCACAGAGTTGGAGGTGAGTGCTCTGAATTCAGGGCTCTGCTTCTTGCTCCCACCTGTCTTCCTAACATCAGGTGGGTCTGAAGTGCTCTGTAGAGGACTGACTTCCCCTGGCTTCTGCTTGTCCACACCCTGTGATGATTTACTTACACTTCTCTGCCTCCAAAGACGCCGGCCAGGGACTGTGGGCACTGAACTGGGACCACTTAAAACACTGGAAGGCTTAGATGTACAGACATGGGATGATGGCTTTGAGCGGCTCAGCCTGATCTTTCTGGGCAACAGTTGCTCATCCACAGAACGGTACAAGCTGGGATGGGAAAGAGCTGTAGGACCTAGAGCAGGGTTATTCTTGTACTCCTTTGGCCCTTCTCTCTGGCTTGATGGAGATGAGCTTCTTTCTTGAGTCAAGCAAATCCTGGCTTTCTTTTTGAGTAGAAGGGTGTCTGACAAGCTCTCTACATTTGGTAGGTTGCTCTTTTTGTGAGGCCCCTCTTCTTCCCCTAAGGACTTAAACCTTACTGCTCCAAGAGGACTAGGAGTCTGGGTGACAGGCAGTGGAGTTCGAGGGCGGCGGCTGGGTGCTACCACTCTGGCAGAGATTGGTGCAGCACTTGGTGGTTGTAAGCATTCTCTGTTTAGTCTTCGGCCCTGAGGAGCCTTTACTAACTTCCCACCCTCTAGCTGAAGGGTTTCCAGCTCGGACACTCGGAGCTGACGGGCAGCAGAAAGCACATCCTGGGCTTCTTCCTGAGATACTTCCATCTCTGAAGTATACAGGAAATCCACCAGCTTCCTAAGTGTCCTAATCTTTAGGCCTCCCAGCTCCAGCACCACCTTCCGACCCTGAACTGGCCTTTCCCGCTCCAGGCGTTCTGTGAAGAAGGGACTGCAGGCGGACAGGATGCAGCAGTGGGCTGGGACAGCCTCACCTGGAAAAAAAATACACATTTATGCTTTTTCTTTCTTTCTTTTTTCTTTTGGTCTGTTTTTAGTCCCAATAACAAAAATCACTAAATTGAAAATTAAGAAAAAAAAACAGTACCAGCTAATGTATGTGCTTAGGGCTTTAAAAACCTTGTCCAAGCCAGGTTTGGTAGTGCATGCCTGTAACCTCAAAACTTGGAAGGTAGGAACATCGGGAGTTCAAGGTCATTCTTAAGGCCAGTATGAGCTATAGGAGAGTTTCCCCCCCCCCCCCCTTTTGGTTTTTCAAGACAGGGTGTCTCTGTGTAGTCCTGGCTGTCTTGGAACTCACTCTAGACCAGGCTGGCTTCAAATCCACAGAGATCTGCCTGCCTCTGCTCCCAAGTGCTAGGATTAAAAGCATGAGCTATCACTCACTGCCCAGCCAGAAATCTTGTTTTTAAAAGACCCAACCAAGGCTGGGCGGTGGTGGTGCATGCCTTTAATCCCAGTACTCGGGAGGCAGAGCCAGGCGAATCTCTGAGTTCGAGGCCAGCCTGGTCTACAAAGCGAGTTCCAGGAAAGACACAAAGCTACACAGAGAAACCCTGTCTCAAAAAAAGACCCAATCAAACAAAAAAGCCTTCCTAAGTGCTTAACAGTTCTTAAACCTTTGCAACTATCTCATTAGGATATTATGTGCATTTTATAGAATTTCTATGCCCACAAAACTTTGCAATTTGTTTTTCTTTTCTTTCTTTTTTTTGGGTTTTTTGTTTGTTTGTTTTGAGACAAGGTTTCTCTGTGTAGCTTTGGAGCTGGTTCTGGAACTCACTCTGTAGACCAGGCTGGCCTGGAACTCACAGATACCCACCTGCCTCTGCCTCCCGAGTGCTGGGAGTAAAGGTGTGTGCCACCGCCCAACTCTTTGCTTCTTTTTTTTTTTTTTCCTTTGCTTATTTTCAAACAGGATCTGATTATATAGCCCAGACTTGCCTCAAATTCATGAGCCATTTGAGAACAGTGACTAAAATTGTACACCACTACACCCAGTTTCTTGGCATGTGTGCATGCATATTCCTGAAGGAATAATGTCTTCACACTACTGTATGCATGTAGAAGAGGACAGTCTCAAGTGTCTGTCCCCACCTTTCCCCTTATTTGACATAGGGTCTCTTTGTTGCCCCTATAATGCCAGGCTAGCTGGTCTACAAGCTTCCCAGGATTTTCATGCCTCTGCCTCAAAGGAATGCATATTGAAGGTGTGCAAAACTGTACTGGCTTTATTTGGGGTCTGAGGATTCAAACTCAGGTCCTCACATTTGCATGGTAAGTATCCATAGAGCAATCTCCCTAACCCCTATAGTTTCTTTATATTTACTTTTTTAGGTTGTGTGTAGTCTAAAAGTTGACCTCAATCAATTGTCTACCTTATCCTTTTGAGACAGGGTCTCTCATTGAACCTGGACCTCATCAATTTGGCTAGACTGGCTGGCCAACAAACCCCAGGGGTCTTTCTGTTTCCGAATCCCCAGCACTGAGATTACAGGAACACATAAAGGCATTCAGCTTTTTATATGGGTGCTGATGACCCAAACTTAGATCCTCATGCTTACAAGACAAGTACTTTAGCAGTTGTTTGTTTCTACCTGCTCCCTATGCCAGCCTGGCTGTCCTTTGAACTTGCACAGTCCTCCTGTCTCCTACCTCCCAGCTCCTTATATGGGGGCTGGAATTACAGACAGTTGCACTATGTGTTTGGGTTGTGGGGATTTGAGTTCAGGTCCTCATGCTTGCACACTCAGCCCTTTTATCCAATGAGCCTTCTCTCTGCCCTCTTTTTTAGTTATTTTGAGCTTGGATATCATGTGATCTAGGCTGGCTTAAAATTCCCTATGTAGTAATGGACAAATTTCCTGCTTCTACAGGCATGCACTACTATGCTTGGTGTAATCTATGCTGAGGATTGAACCCAGTGCTTCATGAAAACTAGGCTAACACTCTGTCAACTGAGCTATATGCCCAACTTTTTTAAAAAAAAATTATGTATTTTTATTTATTTATTTTTTTAAGATTTATTTATTTACTATGTATGCAGTGTTCTGTCTGCATATACACCTGCAGGTCAGAAGAGGGCACCTGATCTTTTTATGGATGGTTGTGAGCCACCATGTGGTTGCTGGGAATTGAACTCATGACCTCTGGAAGAACAGCCAGTGCTCTTAACCTCTGAGCCATCTCTCCAGCCTCCCGTATTTTTATTTTATTGTATGAATGTTTTGCTTTTACTCCTGAAAACAGTTTTAGAGGGCCTGGGGATATAGCTTATTAGGTAGAGTGCTTTGTCTAGCATGCACAAAAACCACAGGATTGATCCTCAGCTCTGCATCAAATTAGGATGGTGGTAAATTTAGGAGGCAGGAAAATTAGAAGTTCAAGGCCTTTTTCAGCTACATAGGCCAGAAGAGGGCACCAGCTCTCTTGGAACAAGATGTGGGGGCTGGGAACTGAAACAAGGTCCTCTGCAAAACCAGCACAAGGCATTTATTTCTCTAGCCCAGCTTTGTTTTATGTTTCCTCGTTATTACTGGCTTTTTTTTTTTTTTTTTTTTTTTCTGTTTTTTGAGACAGGATTTCTCTGTATAGCCCTGGCTGTCCTAGAATTTTCTCCGGCCTTGAACTCAGAAATTTGCATGTCTCTGTCTCCCAAAAAGAGTGTTTGGATTAAAGGCATGTGCCACCAAGCACAGGTTATGTTGCTTGTTTATTTTTTTTTTCTTTTGGTTTTTCAAGACAGGGTTTCTCTGTGTAGCTTTGTGCCTTTCCTGGATCTCGAGCTGTAGACCAGGCTGGCTTCGAACTCACAGAGATCCACCTGCCTCTGCCTCCTGAGTGCTGGGATTAAAGGCGTGTGCCACCACCGCCCGGCTGTTTATTGTTTTTTTGGAGACAGGGTCTGGGCATGCAAGATGGCTTAGCACAGAAAGGTGGTAGCAGCCGACCACACCTACAGACCTAAGTTCCATCCCTGAAACCCTCATGATGAAAGGAGAAAACTAACTCCTGAAAGTTGTTTTCTGACCTTGTCGTGTGTGCTGCGGCACACCTTCCAGCTCACAAAATAAATGTGTATATGAGTGTGACAGAGTGTTAAGTACACACAGGAGTAACATGCATTAGTATGCCTCACTCTGTAGCCTGGGCTGTCCTTAAATTTGTGATCCTTTAACTTCCTAGTTTTACTTTTGAAAGCCAGATTTACATATATGAGTATTTTGTTCACATGTATGTGTATACACCACATATGTGTGCCTGTTGCTAAAAGGGCACTGGATCTCCCGGAACCAGAGTTATAGATGGTTGTAAGTCAACATGTGGGTATTGGTACAAAAGCAACAAATGTTCTTAGCCAAAGAATGATCTCTCTCTAGCCCCATTCTAGTTTAATTTTAGGAGGAAAAAGCATAGTAACAGTTTAAGGCTTTTTAAAAATTGACTTATTATTTTATGTGCTTTACCTGCATATTTATCTGTGCACCACATGTGTGAGTTACAGACAGTGGTAAGCTGAAATGTGGATTCTGAGAATAGAACCAGGGTCCTCTGGAAGAGCAGTCAGTGCTCTTAGCCATAAGCTATCTTTCCAGCCCCCAACAATTTTACTCCTGAGAATAGTTTTAGAGGGCCTGGGGATATAGCTTATTAGGTAGAGTGCTTTGTCTAGCATGCACAAAAACCACAGGATTGATCCTCAGTTCTGCATCAAATTAGGATGGTGGTAAATTTAGGAGACAGGAAAATTAGAAGTTCGAGGCCTTTTTCAGCTACACAGAGTTTGAGGAAAGCCTAGGCTGAATGAGTTCCTGTCTCAAAAAACAAAAACAAGCTTATCCTAAACCAGGTGTGGTGGTGAAAAGAAAGCCTTTAATCCTGGGCCGGGGGAGGTAGAGGCAAGTTCTAGATCCCTGTGAGTTCCAGGCCAGCCTGATCTACATAGCAAGATCTACAGAGCTACACAGTAAGACCTACCTCAACAAAACAAACACCAACATCCCCTCCCAAAAATAATTATCCTGGAAACAAAAAGCTTTTCACAAACACCACCACCACCACCACCACCACCACCACCACCACCACCACCACCACCACCCTATCCCTTCCCAAAAGTAATTATCCTGGAAACAAAAAGCTTCTTACCAAAGAGTTTACAAATATTTATAGGTAAGAACATTCTTCTGGGTTTATTGTTTACCTCTGGCCTTGAACTCATTTTACCTTGTTCTATAGTGACTTTTCAGTTGAACCTCCTTTATTTTCTTACCCTCTGCCTGCAGAAGGGCATCACAAAACACACCGCTCTGCTGCTGGTGATGAAGCTGCAGAAAAGCTACCCGGAGAAACCGGGGATTCCTGTACAGGATTTTGGAACTGGCAGGAGAGCACATGTTGTATTTGGTAAATAACCTTCTAGGTTTTCACGGTTCAGATTCCTGTGGGTGAGATAATATATTTCAGAGGTATGATTATACCTAATTGATTTTTTGTCTTTGAAATGGTGGAGAAATTTTAAAAGTGAGAGACAGTGAGCTGAAAAGTTCTGCTGAGGATAATCTCAAGAAAGACTCTTATGACAGTGGTTACCTATAGAAGCTCCTCAATAAGCCTGCATTTGAAACCTGGCTCTGTTCTTAACCAGCCTAGCTGTATAATATCATGCAGGTGACCTAACTTCTCAGAGACTCACTTTTCTCACACATGAAATGGAAATAACAGTACTTACCTTGTGGGGCTTTTTAAAAAATTTAAACAAGCCAGACATGGTGGAGCATGTCTATAATTCCAGTTCTTGGGAGGCAGAGGTAGTATGACCAGGAATTCAATGACATCCATCCTCCATATATAAGTAGTTCAAGGCCAGCCTAGGCTATATGAGACCCTGTCTCAAACACAACAAAAAAAAAATGAGGGCATGGTGGTACATGTCTGTCTGAAACAACTCAGAGGAGAAGGCAGGAGGACTGCGTGTGAGTTTCAGGCCAGCCTGGGCTGCACAGGAAGACTCTGACTCAAAATTAAATGAGTCAATACAGGCAAATAGTTTAGTACAGTGCCTACCACAAAATAATTATCTTCCTCAAATATCAGCTACGGTTATACTTCAGTTTTTCTCATTCATATTAGCACTGAGACCTAACTCCTATAGTGCCAACTATTCACATTCTTCCTGTGCACCACATCTCACCATACTTTCAATTTCACACTTTCAAAACAATACTGCTGGCTATAAAACTGACTCTGGGAAGCCATATACACCTTTATTTAAGCTCAGTTATCACACTAACCAGCAGAGGGTGCACAATCAAGAAAAGACAGGATTTAGAAGGTCTTGCATATAAATAAGAGTACTGTTGACTGACCAAAGTGAACCAGAATGATCTCTGCAAAAAAATATGGACTTTTGTGAGCCTGGTTAATTGCCTGGCTAACAGTAGAGCAAGGAGAGGTAAGTATTTGACCCCTCCCCACCCAAATAAATAAAGTGGATATTCTGACTTAAATTTCTAGGGGGTGTGTGTGCGTGCACACGTGCCAGGACCACACTCCCATCCCCACTTACTGCACAGCTGTGTGTTCCTTTTCCGGTACAGTTATGGAGTTTTCGGTCAGGTAGCACTGAAGAGTCCAAATAGTTCACGTCAAAACTATCAGGAAAGAAAAGAGTAGGTAAATTAAGAAAGGGAAGTATCAGCTGGGCTTGGTGATCCCATGTCTATAATCCTAGCTATTATTCAGGAGACCAAAACAGGACTATTATATGTTTCAGACCAGCATGGGCAATTTAATGAACTCTGTTCTCAAAACAGAATTTTAAAAGGACTGATGGTATACCTCAGGGGTAGAACTCTTGCCTGGCAAGTGTGAGGCCTTACACCAATAAGGGATGGAGGTCGGGGTTTGGGGGAGCAGAGCGGGAAACACAACTAAGTCTCATCCCAGCCATCAGAAATGTGGATGAACAAGGCACCTGTTGCAGGGGGGCCGGGAAGATTTCCAAAATACTAATGCCTAGCCTTGTCCTCAGACCCAACCTGGAATCGTTTTTGCAACAAACTTGCTCCTGTTGTCCTCTGTTTCTTCGGGTCCTCTTGTCCAGTAGCTTTGTTTCCTCCGAACGTCCAGTCTCTTAGCCGAAAGGCTGCGCAATGCAGCCCAGGTGGGCCAGCAGCCTCAGCGATTCCCCTCCCAGTCCAGAAACACGGGAACGAGGGTTAGCGGAGAAAACGGCGTCACAGAAGGCCCTGCAAAGCAGGTCACCCCGCACACTCTGGGCCCAGGGGCCCAACTCCTGTAAAGAGGGATCTCCGGCGCGAGGGTTTCTGGGAATGGAGCATGGAGCTGGTGGAGGCCCGAAACCAGGGCGGACCCTCACGGACACCGCTGACTTGGCCCGCACGTGGTTTGCAGTCTCTCCCTGGCGCCCGCAGGCCTCGCCGGGTCTCCAGCACCCACATGCACTGGGCAGTGGTGACAACGAGGGCCTGAGGCCACGCGGCCCGGGCTACACACCGCGCGTGGCCATCCTCGCGCTCCGGGCGTCGAGGGCTCCGACGACTTCCTTCCTCCGCCGCCGCCGCCGCCGCCGGGCGCGACCTACGTGCGCCACAATACGTCATCCCCATTGGACGGCCGCTCCCGGGAGAACCAATCAGAGGAGGAGGAGCGCTTTGGCGGGAGCTGAAGTATCGAGGGAGTTGAGACTGAGGGGAAGACGGCCCGGCCGGGCTGCGAGAGGTTGGGGGTCCGGGCCGCGGGAAGGGCTTCTTCTGGAATCTGCCTTGTTCCGGAACACAGTGAGGGCAGGGCCAAGACTCCCTCGTTAAATAGGCCGGGCTCCAATGAAGTTGAGGTACATTTCTTTTTCTCCTTGAAAAGGCTGCAAGTAACCTTGGCCCTACCTAGATCAGTCTAGGCTTCGTTTGTGGAGGAAAAAAAAAAAGTTTCGGCGTGCAACATTGCCAATCAAGCTATTTTCTAAGACTGGAGAGGTTCAAGAAAAAAAAAAAAAAACATCACTGGACTGGCTTCTGACACCCCTCCCCCAACCCCACCCCGTGGATTCCATTCCAGCCCTAAATCTTAGTAGAAGTGGTGACCCAAGAGACTTGTGGGAACACCTACTTGTGGTGAGTTCCTGTGGCCTTCTACAGATCATTTATTCAGCTCAGTTTCTGACTAGAAATAGCGGTTTTCAGGGATGGTACTAAAAAGAATGATTTCAAGATTAAAGCAAAAAAAATTTGCAGAGACTGAGGCCAGGAATGGTGGCACATGTTTTTAATCCCAGCTCTCGAAAGGCAGAGGCAGTCGATCTTTGTGAGTTCTAGGCCAGCCTGGAAAGCCAGAAGCTATATAGAGACCCCCATCTCAAAACACCAAAACAAATAACAACCACAAAAACCCACAACAGCAACAAGAAAAAACCACCACACAAAGAGAGAGGGAGAGAGAGAGAGGGAGAGAGAGAGAGAGAGAGAGAGAGAGAGAGAGAGAGAGAGAGAGAGAGAGAGAGAGACTGTCGATCCATGCTCTAAATCTGTACAGCACTTCTTTACCACTGTGCATTAGGACCCAGGATCTAACGCGGATGACTGACCCTCAGTAGCTACCTGATGATGTCCAGCACTGGATAAAATGGCCACATTCAAAGCTACTGATAACAAATTGTGGTGAAGGAAATGGAGTAGCCAAGAGGATGTAGAAAAAGAAGAGCCTGCGGAAACAGAACATATATTGGTGAGTAAGACAGTGTGTTCAAATGTGTCTTTAGTGAGGTTTAACACATTTTACCAGAGACTCTGGGGGCTTCAGGTGTAACTTAACGGTCCAATGCTTTGCTAGTGTGTAAGAGGCCCTGTGTTCTTTTCCTAGCACTGTTTTCTTTTTTCCTTTTTTTTTTTAAGTTTTATTTATTTATATTTCACGTATGAGTGTTCTGCATTTATACCTGCATGCCAGAAGAGGGCATCAGATCCCATTATAGATGGTTGTGAGCTACCTTGTAGCTGGGAATAGAACTCAGGACCTCTGGAAGAGCATCTCTCCAGCCCGTTTTTTGTTTTTTGTTGTTGTTTTTGTTTTTTTGTTTTTCCTTTTTTTAAGGAAAGCATTTGAGCCAGTGGTGGTGGCGTAAGCCTTTAATCCCAGCACTTGGGAGGCAGAGACAGGTGGATCTCTGTGAGTTTAAGGCCTGCCAGGTCTAGAGAGAGAGTTCCAGGACAGCCAGGGCTGTTACACAGAGAAACCCTGTCTTGAAAATCAGGAAAAAAAAGAAAAGAAAAGAAAAAAAAAAAGGAAGGAAGGATTTGAAGTAGTTGAGCACATTTCCAAGTAGGTCATACTTACTTCCCTTAGTTTAGAGTCGGCTTCAAGGATGAAAAAAGAAACAAGAAGCTGCACATTTTCAGTGGCAGTTGTTACGTTTACAAGAGGAAGCAGTTTGTGAAAAGACATACAACTTAGTTTCAAGACGGATTCCAGATACTGTCAGCAGCAGCAGCAGCAGCACAGCAGAGACAAGCAGGCAAGGGAAAACAGAAGCCACAAGCCAGACAATCCTTGTTTATGCCGTCTGTGAGTGTAGAATTAAGACTTGGGTGAGCGGGGACAATACCATTGCGGGTTATTCTGTGGAGATGTAAGGAAAATGTTTTATCCCCTTCTTAATATGTTTTTGTCAAGGTTAAATTAATTTTAATAAATAGAGAGGACTTCTTGGTTGGCTTTTTGTTTTGTTTTGTTTTTCGAGACAGGGTTTCTCTGTGGCTTTGGAGCCTGTCCTGGACTAGCTCTGTAGACCAGGCTGGCCTCAAACTCACAGAGATCCACCTGCCTCTGCCTCCTGAGTGCTGGGATTACAGGCGTGCGCCACCATCGCGGGTTTTTTTTTTTTTTAAATTAAGTACCATTATTTTTTTTGGTAGTAAAATTTATTTCTCTCTCTCTTTCTTTTTGGGGGTGGGTGTTGAGATAGGGTTTCTCTGTATAACAGCCCTGGCTGTCATGGAACCCAATACTTAGCCTTGAACTCACAGAGATCCACCTGCCTCTGCCTCCCAAATGCTGGGATTAAAGGTACATCACCACACCCAGCTTGTGGTAGTAAACTTTTAAAAGGGAATGGGCTTAAAAAATAGCTAACTCTGGGTGCATAGCTACCAGAGGGTGGAAACAAAAATAATTTGTTTTTCCTTATACAGATAGCCAGTGTTTTGAAAGAGTTTTTTTTTTTTTTTTTTTTTTTTTTTTTTTTTTTTTTTTTTTTTTTTTGGTTTTTCGAGACAGGGTTTCTCTGTGTAGCTTTGCGCCTCTCCTGGAACTCACTTGGTAGCCCAGGCTGGCCTCGAACTCACAGAGATCCGCCTGGCTCTGCCTCCCGAGTGCTGGGATTAAAGGCGTTCGCCACCACTGCCCGGCCAGTTTTTTTGTTTTGTTTTTTTCTCATTTCATCATGTCATTTATGGTTTTGGTCTGTTTTAGAACTAGAATCAAGGCTGGGTCTGATGGCATACACTTCTGATCTCAGGAGAACAGAGATAGAGGACAGCTTGAGCTGTCTCAAAAAAAAAGGAGAAGGAGGAAAAAGAAAGTTGGAGGAGGAGAAAAGGGCTGAAGATAAGGGACTAGGGCTGTATCTCAGGAAAGTGCTTAGTTAGGTATGTGAAGCCCTGGGTTTGAGTCCCAGTACCCTTTAAACACTGGGTGAGGTGGCACACACTAGTAATCCGAGACTTGGGAGGTGGAGGCAGAAGGATCAAAGTTCAAGGTCATCCTTAGTTAGCTACATAGGCAGTATGAGACCACCTGGGCTACATTAGACCTTGTCTTAAAAACCTTAAATAATAATAATAATAATAATAATGATGATAATAATGATTTTTCCTGATAAAACAGTTTAGCAGGTAAGGATGCTTGCTGCTAAGCTTGCCGACCTGAGCTTTATCCCAGGGCCCCACGTGGTGGAAAGAGAAAACACACTCTGGAAAGTTGCCCTCTGACCTCTGCTGGCATACCATTCATAAATAAATAAATGTAATAAATTTAAAAATGATTAAAAAGAGCTAGATTCATTATAATGCACAGCACTCTATCCTACACCCTATCTGCTGACTTTAATATTTCTTTCTTTTGTTACTAAGTATTGAAACCCAGGCCTTCTTTGTACATGCTGAGCATGTACTTTAATGTACTGAGCTATTTAAATCTCAGCCCCAACTGAGTTTCTCCTTTTACTTTTTTTTTTTATAAACAGGATCTCATAATGTTGCCTGCTTAGGCCTGCATTCCTCTTGCCTCAGCTTCCCCAGTGGGTTTGGTTATAGGTGTTCACCACCATGCCCAACTTCTCTGTTTTTGTTCTTACTGTGTAGACCAGGCTGGACTGGAACCCACAGAAATCTGCCTTCCTTTGTCTTCTGAGTGTTGTGATTAAAGGCAAGTGCCACCAGGCCCAGTTCCTATTTCTTCTTAGACATATTTTTTTTCTTTTTCCCAGCTCTTCCCTAATCTTTCATCGTTTTATGATACCTTGCTTTTTGGTGATGGTTGTGAGGGGTGAGGTTAAACTTTTGAAGGTTATTGAACATTGAATATAATGTTCCATGCATAAAAACAAAAGAGAAAAAAGAGAGAAAAAACAGCCATGTATGTCTAAATTATACTTCAATTCATTAACTTATTTTCATTTTCATTTTTTGTTTTTTGAGATAGTGTTTGGCTATTTAGTCCTAGCTGGACTTGATATGGTCCAGGCTAGGTCTCCTCTTTCTGCCTCCCTAGTATTAATGGTTTGCCTCTAGCAATTATCTTTGGCTGTTGAACTTGGCAGGGATGAAGTCTAGATGTAGAAGATATCCTGAGTAATGGGAGAAGATTCTTAGATAATGAGATAATTCTTCTTATTATCTTCTTGACAATGTATTTTTTTCCCATTCCACTTTGGCTAAAAACTAGATCAAACAAATGTTATAATGCCTGTTTGGTCTTTGTGCACAATAGAGTAAATATGAGGATCTTCAAGAAGATAGTCTAAATATGAGGGGTTAGATAATGACTATATCAGCCTGATTAAATGAGCAGGAATTTTGGGTTATATAGATAAAGAAAGATCTGATTATGGCTAATGGGTGTTACTGTCATATATAGAGTGAATAAATCTGGTATCTTGATGAGCTTCCATTTTCTCATCTGTAAAATGGTGGTATTCATTCCATAGGGGTGCTTTAGAAGACAGGGGGAGTAATGAGTTCAAAGTGTATTTCACATAGCAGATGCTCCATTGGTTGCTATTACTGGGCAGTGTTGAGTCACTGAAAACTTTTGGGGGACAGGATAAACACTTGCCATAGTTATTATTATTATTATTGAGACAGAGTTTCTCAGTGTAGCTCTGGCTGTCCTGTAACCTGGTATGTAGACCAGGTTGGCCTTGAACTCAAGAGATCTTCCTGCCTCTGCCTCCTGAGTGCTGGGATTAAAGGTGTTCGCCACCACTGCCGGCTCAGTAGTTTATTCCTAATGAGTTTATACTATATGCCAGATATTTTTAGAAGACATTTATGTTGCCAGGCAATGTGGCCCATGTCTGTAATCCTGGGACTTTGTAGGCGGAAGCAGTAGGATTATTTGAAGTTCAAGGCCACCTTGGGATATATATATATAGTGAGTTTCAGACTAATAGGAACTATATACAAGGTCTGGCTAAAAAACCAAAAATGACTTTTATGTATATTTTTATTCTTACAACAGATTCGTCTGTGTGATGAGTGTGACGTGTGCCCGTGCAAAGGCTAGAGAAGGCTATCCAGTGTTCTGCTCTAGTGCTCTGACTTCGGTCTGTGAGCCTGGAGCTGGGCTGGTGACCAGCAAACTCCAGCGATCCTCTTGACTCTGTCCTACCCATGAACTACACTGAGAAACTCTGTCTCAATAATAATAATAATAACTATGGCAAGTGTTTATCCTGTCCCCCAAAAGTTTTCAGTGACTCAACACTGCCCAGTAATAGCAACCAATGGAGCATCTGCTATGTGAAATACACTTTGAACTCATTACTCCCCCTGTCTTCTTTTTTTTTTTTTTTAAATTTATTTATTATGTATACAATGTTCTGTCTGCACATATCCCTGCAGGCCAGAAGAGGGCACCAGATCTCATTACAGATGGTTTTGAGCCACCATGTGGTTGCTGGGAACTGAACTCAGGACCATTTGGAAGAACAAGCAGTGCTCTTAACCTCTGAGCCATCTCTCCAGCCCCTCCCCCTGTCTTCTAAAGCACCCCTATGGAATGAATACCACCATTTTACAGATGAGAAAATGGAAGCTCATCAAGATACCAATATGCATATGGCCATGCCTGGCTTTGTACATAGGTGCTGGTACCTGAATTCAGGTTCTCATGCTGAAGCAGCAAGTGAGCTGTTAGCCACTGAGCCATCTCTGCAGTGAGAGATAGTTATTTCTATTTTTTTTTTAAAGATTTATTTATTATGTATACAGTATTCTGCCTGCATACCAGAAGAGGGCACCAGATCTCATTACAGATGGTTGTGAGCCACCATGTGGTTGCTGGGAATTGAACTCAGGACCCCTGGAAGAGCAACCAGTGCTCTTAACCTCTGAGCCATCTCTCCAGCCCAGTTATTTCTATCTTATAGTTAAGGAAACAGGTTCAGAAATTCTAGAACTGGGCCAAGGTCACATGTGGTACAAACATTGAGTTAGTGTACTTGTATAGGAGTAGCTGGAAGCCAGCAGTTTGACTGCAGTCTCTCTTCTTAGCCATTGTATCACCATTATAGATTATGAAAGCTTTACGAAGATTCATTTTGCAGTAGCCAGTAGGAACACATACTTCTTATTCCAGCACTTGGGAGGCCAAGACAGGGCCATCTCTGTGAGTTCAAGGCCAGTCTGGTGTACATATCAAGAATTCCAGGACAGCCATGGCTACATAATGAGACCCTGTCTAAAAAAATAAAATAAAATAAAACAAAACTAAGAAACAAGGCCAACAAGAGGTATTAGTGGGTAAAAGCGCTTGCTGCCAAGTCTTATGACCTAAGTTTGATCCACTGAACCCACATAGAGGAAGGAGAGAACAGATTTCTGTAAGTTCTCTGACCTGAACATGGGTGCTGTGGTACATGTGTGCCTCTCCACATGTGCAAGCACAGATACACAGAAATACATTTAATTTAAAAATATAAAGAGAAACCTTCTAATTCATCATCTTTGTTTAGTAGCTAGTGAATAACTGATACCAGTCTTACCAGGTGGTAATATGACAGCATTTCCATCACTGAGAAGGCAGGGGCAGAGGGATTTTGAGTTTGTGGCCAGCCAGTGAGACCCTGTCTCAAACAAAACAAAGCAATCTCCTCACCCAAGGGGGAAAAAAAAAAAAAATTCAAGCAACAAATAAAACCCTTTCCCCTCCTAAATCTTAAATGAATTCAGAGGAAAATCCCCGTAATGTTTTATTTAGGTCAGATAAAAAAGCCAGGTAACTTTGAGTTCACAAAGAAATAGCATTCTCCTCGTTATTTTAATGACATTCTTATCTCTTCTAAACTCTTTGTTTATTGGATTCTGTTCATTGTCCCAGGCAAACCCACAGTGGTTTTCCTCAACAGCTCTGTGGATTCTGCTTTTTTTTAGTTTAGAGCAGAGAGGCTAACAAATTATTAACAAGCCTAAGCATTTATTTTTCCTCATTAGTTCTAATGCAATTAAATCAAAACAATGGAATTGAGAGTTTGCCTCAGATATATCCTACCATCCCAATCAACACACAGTCCTGTTTCTGGGATTTCTCTCTCCTTCCTTCCTGGCTTCCATTGGGAAAATGCTTTGGGGAAGAAGGCGACAAACCAAACAGCAGCAGGCAAATAAAGTAAGCTCTTTTCTGTTTTCCCACCCTGATAGACAGGGAAAGGGAGCAAGACCTTCATCAAAGAGCACTGAGGCTTAGGCGTGCCGTTCTAAAAAGCTTTGTTAGTTAGCACCTCCCATCCCCACCGCCAGCTCTGCAGTAATTCCTCAGAGACTGTATAGTCTCCGCTTTAAATATAAATAAATATATATATATAATATATATATAAAACTTCCTCGTCTTTCTCTCCTCTTTTTTTTTTTTAATTTCCTATAATAAAGTTTCCTATTGGATAAGGTCAGCTCCCTGATTTATGCCTGGCTCCTATTGGAAGCTCGCAGGGGCTGACATCACTTAGGAAAGCTAGGGTAGGGCTGCCAGATCAGTTTGTCACCACCCAAGCTCCCTTGCCTTTGGCTGGGTGCAACTTCCATTTTAGGTGTTGGATCTGAGGGGAAAAGAGAGAGAGAGAGAGAGAGAAGAAGAGAGAGAGAGAGAGAGAGAGAGAGAGAGAGAGAGAGAGAGAGAGAGAGAAAGAGAGAAAGAGAAGAGAAGAGAGGAGAGCGAGAGAGAGAGCGCGGAGAGCGAGCAGGAGGAAGGGAGGGCGAGAAACAGACACGGAGGGAGAGGGAAAGAGGCAGGAAAGATCCTGAAACGAGGAAGAGGAAGAGGTGTCGAACCTCGCTGGATTTGTCTTTCTCAGCACATTGGTGAAGTTCTGGGTTTGTTTCTTAAAGGATTGGCTTTAGAAGTCCACATTTGAGGTGGGTGCTTTCTTCATCCTTTTATAAAAATGTGTGGATAACTAGTTGGGAAAAGGATAACCCAAGTGGGATTTTGTCTTAGTGGTAACTGGAGAGATTGAAAAAAGGCAAGAGAGCCTGTTAATGCTGACGGTGAATTTTAATAATTTTTTTTCTACTTTTAATACTTTGGACATATTTTGGTATTTATATTAAGGAAAAGGTAAACGTAATAGACCTAATACCGGAAGCTGGCTTAGAACCAGGGGTAGAAGTTGTGCAAATTATATTTTTCTCTGTACTTTTATTTTATTCTATTTTTATTTTTTCTGGGTTAAGCTAACATACTTCTGTTTTCGGAGCTCAAAAAGTTGTTTTTTTGGCATGTTGTGTGTGGGTTGGGAAGGGAATTTGTCCTGGTCGGAAGATAGTTGTACAGATGGCTCTTACCATGTTTCAAAACTTTCAGCCCCCTCACCTTTGAATTTGTGGCAGTGGAAAGTTGCAGGGAGCTTTAGAACCTAAATAGTATTGTTTTTTCCTCCTGAGAGTTTGAACGGCCCAGATGGTTTCAGCTCTGCTGTTCCTGGGTGGATCCCTTACTTTTCCAGGTGTGGTGGGTATGAGCCTCGCCTGTTAGAAGGGAGCCTCTTGCTTTGCCCTGAAAAACAAATGGCTCTAGATTAACTGAATTGCCACCACTTTTGTTGTTTTTATCCTAAAAATACTTTTGAAGGCAGAGATTTGTGAAGGTGTAGTGTGTTAAACCTGCAAATATGATCATGTTGGCTTTAAGGGTCAGGAATTCTAATAATGCTTAAAGCTGTTGACCAGAGTAAAGCGGCAGAGCACCTGGAAGTCTTTTCAGCCCTTTTGGTTTCAGAAAGGGCCTTAGGTTGTGAATGGTCAGGTGAAGAGAAACCACTTACTGAAAACTTGAGTTTGCAAACCCCATTTGAGAAAGCACAAAGGGAATTTTATTTTTAAGCCACTGGAAAGGTGCTTTCTTAGAGTTGTCTTTTGTTTGTTTGCTTGCTTGGTTAACTTACCATTAAGTTAGAACACTGTTAGAGATAAAGGCCTATGACTCTACTTCATGTCTTATAATTGGTCTTAAGGTTTGTTTGGTTTTGCTTTATGCACATACATTCTTGCAAATGTACTGATCCCAGATAATTATATAGCCAACTCATCAGTAAGCTGCAAAATAGGGTATTCTTCTTTTTTAAATGGGAATCAGTATGAAAATTAGGGCTGAAATAGATATTGCTCTAATTGTAGCAAGGCGGGTCTTAATGTGTAAGCTGCTCATTGCCTTTAAATTGATACGAATCTCTAATCTTCTGATTTCCTAGTCCCTGCCCCCATTCTTTGACTGGAACACTTTCTTGAATTTTTTTCTACAGTGAAGACATTCCTTGCGAGATGATTTTGTCCTTGTCAGGTTGTGGCTTCTGGAGGAAACAACTTTGTTCCTCTTTTCCTTTCCATATAATCTAGGCGAGGGTTACAGGAAAATATTTGACGTCTAGACCTCAAAAGTGAAAAGAAGTAGTTGAAAAGAAAGAAGAAAGACAACGTGTACAGTCAATTGGGCTATAGTTCTCGTTTCCAATTTTTTTTCAATTTTCCTTTGAAATGCTTTTCTGTGGAGGTTTCTTGGTGGGTCTTTGGAGGGTTGGTCTGTTGCTTTCAGAGTGTCGGTTTCTCGCTCAACCTTTAGGGGGAGAGATGAGAGTAAAGGAGGAGTACAAAGGCAGTTTGAAAATAGGTTCTGGATGACTGGTGGTGATCTGGGTCCGGCTTTGAAACTGGGCTTTGTGTAGCTGTGTTGAACAACATTAGGGTCCAGGACTGTTTTCCCAAACTAAGGCATTGTTTGGCCTGCCGTGTAGTGCAGAGCCTTTTGAGGTGATAAGATGGAAGATTATTGTCTCTTGCTTCATTCACCTCTGCTGGTTCTTTCAGGAATTATAGGAAAGGGGACAGATAAGTAATCTTTTATTTTACTATTACTATTATTTTCTGTGCTTTTTATTTTGATTTTGGGGTGAAAATGATGACAAATGAGTATGAATTGTACAGATTTTCTTTCCTTGTTTGCTTTTTATATAATTTGCTTAGTTTCTTTGTTATGTGAGTAAGGTAGTGGTCTGTTTCAGGTGTGTGTGTTGGGGGGGGGAGGTCTCATGGCTGGTTAGAGTTCTAGTGCCTTTCTTAGGATTCCAGTATGGACAGCCAGAGGGGTCAGAACATGTTCTGTGCTGATCTAAAATTGGGACTCTTGGAGATCTTTAAAAAAAAAAGGAGAGCTTCCTGTAATTACATCCCAGCCTTAGGTTTATCAAATAGCTTGGCTTCTTAGGGATGGATGAGACAGGGTGCAGGCAAATAAATTCAGCTTGGATCATTATCAATTGCACTAGCAAAGTATTTAGCTCTGTATAATTTCTTGTTTTCTATTATGGTAGGTGATGGCTCTCTGTTGATACCTTCTAGGTCCTTCTGTCCTCTACCCTCCCTCTCATTGTTTTATTTTACTGTGTGCTAAGCATTTTGCATAGACCTAATTTCTAATAACCATTTTTTTGAAAAAGACTTTGGGACTCAGAAGCTGAGATATGCTGACCAATCACTATCTAAATGGCTTAATCCTGGTCTGATTGACTACAGAGTCAATGGATTTAACCAGGGATACACTGCCAATACCCAGAGAAAATGAACATAACAGCTGGAACTAAAATAAACGAAGCCTTGCTATAGGCAGGAGTGTTTTAGTCCTTACTTACAGAGACCAAATTGGAATAGTATATGTAAAAGATCAGTTTCCTTAGAGCGAGTGAGTGCTGAATATGCTGGCATAGATGTTATTTTAGCCCTAAAAGCAGGGATCATGTCATAGGCATGCCACTGCTGTCCCACTGTTCTTTTTTTCCTTCCTTTTGCAGTGGTGGGGCTTGAATCCAGGGTCTCACAGAGGCCAGGCAAGTGCTCTGCCACTGAGCTCATCACCAGTCCTGCTTTATTCATTATTTCCAGACAGGGTTTCTCTATGTAGCTGTGATTGTCCTTGAACTCTCTGTGTAGACTAGACTGGCCTTGAACTCGGACCTACCCGCCTCTGCCTCCTGAGTGCTGGGACTAAAGGCGTGCACCACTACCACTGGCTGCTTTATTCATTTTTAATTTCTGGGAATTGCCTCAACCTTCATTTGCTTATTAGTGAAATTTCCTTTTCCAGAGAATTTTCAGCCCTTTGGGATGAATGATGAATGATACCACCTTCTAGTGACAGATTTGTAGGAGGTAGTTCTAATAAACGTATTATTATGTATCTAAATATCATACTGTATTAAAATTATGTCGTTCACTGTGAGCTGCTTGTGAGTAGGTACTGTCTTATCTCTATCCCTTTATTACCTATCTCAGTGTCTGCTACAAACTGAGGTGCTCTGTTAAGTCATGTTTAATTAAGGTACTTGATGGGAATTAGTGGGGACTGAGAAGGCTTAAGTTGAGACAGGAAGCAAACAACACGAATTAATTACATTCTCATATAATTTTGACACTTTCACTGTAGCCTGTAGTTTAGATCTTTTATTCATTTACATTTTTTTGTGTACATTTATTTCATTGTATGAGTCGGGGAGGGACAGGCACCTGTTTCTGCTATGGCAGGTGTGTAGAAGTCAGGACAATTTGGGGATGGGGAGAGTCTGTTCTCTTTCTTTTGTGTGGATTCTAGGACTTGGACTCAAGTCCTTACACTTGGTGGCATGTGCCTTTATCCACTGAGACATTTTACCAACTCTAACCTTTTTTAGCTGGTCTCATTTGGCTGAGGTTGGCCCAAACTCTATAATGTAGCTGACGATCATCTTGTATTTGTGATCCCTTCTATTCAGGTTTAGCCTTTCTTGGCAATCAGCCTAAAGAACAGTGTAAGAAGTAAGGTGCATTTCACAGCTTAGGTGGCTATTGCCTTCATTCAGTGAAAACTTGCAACCTTTCCCTTCTCTGGGGAAAAAAACGTGGGCAGCAATGAGGAAGAACATTTTCAGTCCTGCTTGGATCAGTGGTTTATATACCACTACTAATAAAAACATGAATGTAGCAGGAATCTTAAAAGTTCTTATTAATAAAATCAAACCTGAGCCAGGTATTGGGGTGAACTGGAAGATCAGAGAACCGGAACAAGCCACAGCTACCTCACCTCGCCGGATCCTCAGCTGGTCTTGTCCCCTCAGACTGGAGGCCTCTGAGTCCTCATCCAGAATGGGTCTCAGATGAACTGTGCTGCTAGAAGCCTGAAAGCTTAACCAGCCAAATGCTTAACCAGCCAAATGCTTCTAGTTTCTGGTCCTCACGCCTTATATACCTTTCTGCCTTCTACCACCACTCCCTGGGATTAAAGGCTCGCTTTCTGGGATTAAAGGCGTGTGTCACCATGCCTGGCTATTTCCAGTGTGGCCTTGAACTCACAGAGATCCAGAGAGATTTCTGTCTCTGGAATGCTAGGATTAAAGGCATGAGTGCCACCATTTTCTAGCCTCTGTATCTAGTGGCTGTCTGTTCTCTGACCCCAGATAAGTTTACTAAGGTACACAATATTTTGGGGAACACAATACACATGAAGAGCTTGGGATGATAGTTTTAGACATGAGTGCTTCAAAGAAAATGCATTTGGTATCATTCCCCACTCCCCCCCCCCCCCTCAAGTCTCATTTTGAGACAGGGTCTCCTGTACCTTGGCTGATCTTTAACTCCTGATCTTCCTGTATCTGCCTCCCAAAGTGCTGGAATTATAGGAATAGGCTACCACACCTGGCCTGATATGTGTTCTTTTTTTGCCATAGATTGAACTTGTGTGTGTGTACAGGGCTAGGCTAGCACAGGATACCATACAATGGAAGCAGTTCCCCTGCCTCAGTGTCACTTTGTGTTGTGACCAGAATGTGAGCAATCACACTTGGCAGCCATTATTATTACTATGATTACTATTACTAATCACCCTTTCAGCC